ACAATTAAAGAAATTTTAGTTTTATATAATTAAGAAAAAAAGATTAATTAAATATTTTAAAATAATCCTCTTTTAATGAAAAAACGAACACTAAATAAATATTAAATTAATAAATAACACAATTTATAAAAACAAAATATTAAAAAGAAAATAGAAATTTAAGAAGAAATTTAATTAGTATGTAATAGGATAAAAAAATTTTTTTTAATAATTTTTAGTAAATAATTTTAAAAACTATTATTTTATTTATACTTTTAACCTTTTTAATTACTCGATAATTGTTCTTTTAAATAAAGCAAACATCGATTGACACCAAATTTATCAAAAATCCTTCCAGCTTTCATACTTTCCTCAAATATTTGGACAGATGGACACTCAATTGAAAAAGGGGAAGATAAAGAAGATAAATGAGAGAAATAAAAACTAAAAACATTTTTATTGAAATAAATAAATGAATGGCCATGTGCCGGCATTTGGAAATTCTTTTCAAAATTTTCTTTAAAATATTTGGGGGGAGGGAGGGGGTGGAGGGTCAGTCGGACGCTTCTTGGCATTTCCTCTGTCCATCATTCACATTCATCTTAAACACAACACTTGGATGGATGTTTATTTACATTCTTTTTTTAAATTTAAACATTCAACAAATAAAAATGTTAAAATATTTACTGAGAGAATTTAATAAATATATTTTTAAATTTATTAAAAAATTATTAAAAGAATGGAGAGATAATCAAAATTAACACTGTATAAGCTTAGTAAAAAAATCACAAAAAAATCATTTTATTAAAAAAAAAATAAGCATTAAAATGAGAGAACATTGCCTCTAAATAGACCTCAACTTTTCCGCTCTTTTGCTTATGCCGCGCGCCATTTTTAAAAATACTTTTATAAATTCAACAAAGCATTATTGTGTTGTTATTCTCCCCCTTCCCTTTTTTCCCTCTTTTTGCCCTCATTTGGCAAGAGGTGGTTGTCGGTCTATTGCTTTTTCAACTTGTCGTTCTCTTCAATAGGCAATCGAATTTGTTGAAAAATTTAAAAGTTGAAGGAGGGGAGGAATTGTGTGTGCAAGTATTATTTTGGGATAAAAGTTTAAAAATGAGGCCAAATACCAATTGACAGTCGCTTTAAAATATTTAAATAAAACAAATAAATGTGAATATTGAGAATGAAAAAAAAATTTATGAAATATTTAAAAATAATTTTAAAATAAATAAAAAATTATAATAATGATTCTGTTTAAAACAATTATTTTCTATGCAATTTTTAATTATAAAATAACCAGCTATTATTTCTTACAGAAAATGTAGATTGAAGATTGAATTAATAAAAGAATATCTATTTGAATTCGGACAAATTTAGAATTGGAAATTTGACGAATTAAAGCAAATGGAGAAGGTTAATGAGAGAACAAACAAGCATATTTTATTAATCCTTAAAAATAGTAGGTTCGTTTAGGCGTAATTCTAAGAAATATTTAGGATTTTTATTAAAAAATTAAATTTTAAAAGACCCGTTCTAATAAAAAAACTTACTATATATTTACTTTAGTAAATAACAAACTATTAGTAATATTTTTTTGTTGTTTTCTTCATCGGCACATTTTTCTCTGTTAAATTCCTTAGCTGTCAAAAGCTTTTAACGCCTTTTCACTTTTAGCTTTTTTACTTGCGCTTTTTCAAGATTTTTTTCTTTTTATTTTATTTTTTGCTTCACTAATTGTGTAAATATTATGTTTATATGCATGATAACATATAAAAGATAATGAAAGAATAAATGAGAAAGGACATCCGGGAAATAAGCTAAAATAGAACACACAGACAGACTACTTTTTTATATTAATCCTATTTTTAGTATACATTTTTGGATTCTTAAATAATGTAATAGAATTTTTGGAATTTTTTTACCAACAGTTCTCCTCATTGATTATACATGAGAAGGAAACTTTGTTAAAAAACGAGATTGAAAAGTGATCAGGAAGCAATAATGTTGCCGAATAATCACCCCCTATAGTTTACACCCCTATTTCGTATACCACAAGCTAACCAAACTTCCACCCTTAAAATGTGCCACAACAGGGTTCGAATAAAAATTTTAAAAATTACGAGTAAATCTAAAAATATATTTCTTCCTAACACATTTGAAGAGAATAAAGTGTTCCTCCCTTCAACACTAAATAATATTAAAAAGAACTTGTAGACAACGACACTTGGAAATATTTTTCTCTCTTTAAAATTTTTTTGTTGGCAATAACCTCTTGACTTTTTTTCTTCTTCTTTCCTTTAAAAATTTTCTTTTTTTTAGTCCCCTTGTCCAAACAAAACATTTTTCATTCTTTAAATACTCCTTCTACAACAATATTGCTTGTTCTATAATGTCTTTTTGACCGCCTTGCGCCTGTTGAAGAGTTCACAATAAATAAAAATAAATTTTCTTCTTCAGTCCTTCCCATTTCCCGCGTTTTTCTCATTTTTACTTTAACGCCGCCATCTTTTTGAATAATTCACACAATGGCGGTGAATATATAAAAATTGTTAGGAAGGTTTAAATATGCGCAGGCAAATGGAGAATAAAGGTTAAAAAAGGTTGGGATTGTTAAATATGTGTAGGTTTTTAATTAAAGTAATAGAGATGGACTGAGGAAAATATGTAGATATTTTGAAGGTTTTTAGAGGGTTTCCGATGGAAATTTTCTGAGAAGACTTAGATCCTTAATTATAACTCAGTCTAAATAAAAGGTTGAGGTTATTTCCTAAGTTAATTAAGGAAAAATATCCAAAGAAAATATCCTTCCAGAAGTTATCTGTTACCGATAACAGGATGTCTGCATTAGAGACTGGGGCGAAATTGTCGTACGAGATATTTCGAAAAATATTGATCTCGATAATACTTAAATATTTAAAATGAAAATTTTGTTAAATAAAAATCTTTAGCTTATAGATACAGCGTTTATTTTTAATGACCGATAATTGTTGCCGAGTGCAATATCTGTAACAAAGATTAAATAAATAAATAAACATAAATAAATAAATAAAATTAAATAAAAATTTTTTTACATTAAAGAGGATTACAGAACATCATTTATTTTTTTGATTGTCCTAAACTTTTCGAAAAGAATGAAAAGAATAGAAAAGTAAAAGTTTATAATTAGATAGTACAATTATTGTTTATTTTTTGTTAAAAATCATAAAAAACTAAAATTCTTTAAAAAAGTTATTATTATTGTTTTTTTATTTTCAGAAACAATTTTTTAATTTTCTTTAAAAAAGTTTTTGTTTATAAAATAAATGAAAAAGGTGTTGGAAGTGTTCGGAAGGAAAAAAGGGAAAAAAAATAAATGGAAAGAAAATTCTTTGTTAGAAAAAAGGGAAGTTAAAAAAGAAAATAATAATGGATAATTAGCCAAATAATAATGTATATTTTTAATAATATCCCAAAAAATTCAATATTCATACGAAAATAAAAAAGGAAGTTTTTCTAATGGAAAAAATAAATAAGGATTGAAAAGACATTTTACTACATAGAAGTGTTGCCGCGGGTGCAAAAAATCTTCGGTTACGGGTATCGGGTTGGCGAAAAATTCGGGTTATTTTCGGGTGTTAGTTCGGGAGTTAGTTAGTCCCAAAACTTCAGTCAAATTTATATTAGAGAATTGCGAGATCAGGAATTTTTCTGACCCTAATTAAAATTCAGCAAATATTTGTCGATATTTAGAGGTTTGGGGGAGGGGCTGCAGAATTTGATAAAGTTAGAGGACATAGAATAATCGAAACGATTAATTCTTGCCGGTTATCTTGTGTTTTAAATTTTTTCTCTTTTTAAGTTAATTTACGGAAAAACATTAAAAATAAAATAATTGTGGCTTTTTTGAAACAATTGTTTTTAATTTCTCTTTTTAAAAGAAAAAATAAATAAAAATAAATCTTTTCTTTTAAATATTTTTTTTTGATTGACGGAATGACTGATTTACTTTTTTATACTTTTTATTAATTTTTAGAAGATATTTTATTTAATTTTTGTGGCTATTAAAAAGTAGAAATAAATTAGCAGATATTTAAAATTGCTAAATAAAAGTACACAGCAATTGTTAAATAAATTTTATTTTAATTTTTAACAATTTAAAAATTAACAAGTTAAAAAAATTAGCAAAAAATTAACAAGTTACTACCAAGTTTTAAACAGACCTGCACATAATTCAAAAATTTTTAAAGGAAAAAAATATTCAAAAATATTTAGATCTCGGTATATTTTCGTTAATTTATTCAAAAATTAATGTCGATTTGGAGGAATTAAACGGATATAAGAGGATTAAGGCTTAAATAACCTTAAAAATTTTTATTTAAAAAACGCCTTCTAATCAAACTCCTGATTTCCATTACTTTATTTTTTATTAAATAACCCCCCACAGGGATTTCTATTTAACTTCTGATTTAAAGGATGATATTTGAAGAAATTCTTCATAAGATGCCACTACTCTTTTTTCAAGTTAATTTGTAGAAACCTATACTCCATCTTTTGATAATTTTGGTGTAAAAAATTATAATTTTGGTGTCCATAAAAATTTACCAAACAAATTTCCAATATTTTGTGAAAATAAAATAATTTTTTTATAATAAATAAAACAAAATATTGTTAAACAAATAAATATTCATATAAAATTTTATTTAACAGAAAAATAGAGAAAAGCCAAAAACAAACTAAAAGTTTACCCCGTTTTATTAAATCCACGTTTTACAAAATATTTTAGATTTTTGTTTTTATCGAAAATAAGTTCAAACAACCATTTTCGTGTTTTGTTTGTTTATATGTAGTATAACAACCTATATATAAATGTTTTTAAAGAAGATAAAAACCATAGGATTCGTTTTCGTACCTTGATTTTATGTACAAGGAAAATTTAAATTTGGAAAGCATTTTATATTGAACCTATAAAGAAGAAAAATCCTATCATTGTTCAAGATCCTATTCAAAAGAAAGAACGGATTTGGAGACTACCATAATTTTTCGTATCAGTATCCTTTCTTTACATTTTAGGACACGTAACTGAATTTGACTCTAACAAAAATTGGTTTCATAATTTTTGCCTCAGTATTCTCTACAATTTAGGGCACGTGACTGAACTTAACACTAACAAAAATTGGCTTATTTTTTCTAAAATTTCGTTTAAATATTCTAAACTATAAACTACTAAAAAAATAATGGGTACTTTTGTTTTCATTATTTTTTCCCTATTTCTTCGAAATTATTGTGTGTTTGCTGTTACATGGCCAACCCCAAGACAAACATTTACAGTTAGTAAATATATTTTTAAATATATATATTTTAGCTTTTTTAAAGTTGGAGGAACCAAAACCTGTGGATAAATATCTTGATTGTAATTATGACCGTTATGTACCCAATATTAAAAATGGAAAGTGGGGAAGTGGAGAATTCCAAAAGCCAGTGTTTGATCTAGCTAGTGGTGCTACAATAAAAAGATGTATTTATTCTGGTGTTGATGGAATTCATTGTAATGGGCGTTGTGAAGTAGAAGATTGTTGGAATGAGGATATTGGAGAAGATTCCATCTCTCTTTTTGGTTAGACTTTTAATTAATTAAGGTCAAAATTGTTTAAAAAACAATGTTATAACCTCTTATATTCTTAAATAAAGTGCTCTTGATTTTTCTCAAAAGTTAAAAAAAACATTCAATTACAGGGACTGATTCGAGTGCAAATTATTATATTAATGGAGGAGGTGCAAGGAATGGAAATGGAAAAGCTATACAATTTGATGGTGCTGGAACGTTACATGTCGACAATTTTTATGTTCGTATAATTATTAACATTTAAATATTTCTTATTTAAATGTCAATATATATTTCGGAGGAAATTTACACTTTTCTGAAAAGATGAGCCCTAATTAAATATTTCTTTGGGTTTATTTAGGCCTGGGACTGGGGTTTGCAGCTTTTTCTCCATGTTTGCAACCATCCAATAATTTTGGAACTTCCGTTAGAGTATTTATATAATTTTCTGAAAATTTCAGATAAATTTGTAAAACTCTAGAAATATATGAAGTATCGATGATCACAAACCAAGTAGTTATGGGGAAAGTTAAAGTGTCCCCATTAATAAACAGCTTTGAAATTTTATTAAATAATAATTTCTTTTAGATAGGTAATAATTATTTGGGTATACGTTCTTGTGGTAACTGCTTGCAGCAATACAGTCGTACTATGTATATAAATAAGTTAACTGTAGAAAACCTCGCGGCTGGACAATTTATTGTTGGAGTGAATAACAACACAAAATTTAGTGATAAAGCTTATCTCAAAGATATTCATATTCTTGGATCATCAGCAGATCAAGTTTACCCCTGTAAAGTTTTTGATGGAAATAATAATGGAGGGAATCCTAAAGTTTTAACACCGGAAAAAACTAAAGGAGATGGAAAATTTTGTATTTTTGCTGAAACTGACATTCATATTAATTCATAATTATTTAATTTAAGAAGAAAATAATGTATGTATTGGGTTTGGCAATTTAGCCGTATTTTTTGTTATTGCTATTACACGTAGTAAAATAAAGTTAAATAAATAATTTTTTCTTATTTGATTCTCTTATTATTGATAGATGTTTTAAAACAAGAAAAAACTAAAGGAGATGGAAACTATTCTAGTGAGTTAACTGTAGAGACTGAAACAATAATTATTAAAAACCTTGGTTACATCCCCTGTGGAACTAGTGATTAAGAGGGTATCATTAATTCTTCAGAAATTATGAGGAATATTGGTTTGAATAAAAATTTAAAGAGATTAATTATTAGTATTATAATCTGCATATTTTCTAAAAATTTTGTACCATATTTTTATTAAGTAAATTTTTCGTTTCAAATAGAGATTTAAACTCTTAAGCAATTTTATACGGACTTTTGGCAAGGTTTCGCGTCACCCTAACAAAACCATAAAATATATACTCGAAAAATTTATTAAAACACTTGTGTAAAGCTAAATAATTTAAAAATCTTCAACTAAAAGTGCAAATTTTATAAAAATTAATTATTATATATATTATCTATAAATCTTTTTTACTAAATACTTCGAATAATTTTATTTAATTAAATTTTTTCAGCTGTTTGTCTGTTCTGTTTCAATTAATTTAAACTTTAAATGTCCCTGGTATAATGGATTTGTTATAGAAAGTACAAATAAGATTTTAATTGTCCTTTAAGAATGTTAAAAAAATTTCAAGCTTTAAAGCAAATATTTGCCTAAATTTTTTATATATAAATAGAAAGATTTTGCCTGATAATGCCAGAGCCAATATGCAAAGGCTCAATTAATCTCACATAGGACTAGAGTTTAAATTACTTTTACCTATTAGGGAACCCCAACTATTTTGGAAACCCGGTGAAATTAAGACCGAAAACAAAAACATTAATTTTCACTTCAAAAATTAATATTTTTGTTTATTTTTATCTAAACATTTCTTAGAAATATATAATTAAATACTTGCACGAAAAATATTTCCAAGTTAGAAAATGTCTATTTTTGTGCCTATTGTTTTCGTGCTCCTACAGCTTCTTCAAGGGTGTCAAAGTTTTGGGCCGGCAGCGAAAAAGACAATAACGGTAGTTAATTATTAGGTCGGGTCATAATTAGTGCCGCTTTTTTGAACTGAATTTTTAAAATTAAGTTTTTTGCCAATATGTTTTATTTTTATTTTTTAGTTAATCTCTAAAAGATCCAAGCATTTGAGAATTTTTGGTCGAAAATATAAAAATCTGATCGAAAATATAAAAATTTTCGAAATCACACATCTCTTACGATATAAAAATCTACCAATAAGAGAAAAAGATACTCTTAATTTTTTTGTTTAGTTGCAAAGCAAATTAGTTGTGACCAAAAACTTTGATTGTGGATTTACACGTTATATACCAGACCCAAAAAAGATGGGAGATGGAGGTGCTAATGAATACCAACAACCAGTTATTGAAGTTAGAAATGGAGCTACTCTCTCCAATTGCATTATTGGAGCAAAAGAAGGATTTAAAGCAGCTGATGGTGTTCACTGTGAAGGAAGTTGTACACTTAAAAATGTTTGGCACGAAAAAGTTGGGGAGGATGCCGTTACCTTCCTTGGTAAGTTCTCAGATAAGCCCCCCTCTATTTTGATGATAGGTAAAATAGTTTTAAGGTTTGTTATAAAATGTAAATACTCCTATTCATTCACTTAATAATAATTTTTAATAAGAGACAATAAGTTAGAACTAATTTTTAACACAAATTTTAGGAACAAACCCAAATAATGTGTATATAATCGAAGGTGGCGGAGCCATAAATGCAAATGGAAAAGTTGTACAATTTAATGGGGCTGGAACGGCAAAAATTAACAATTTTTATGTTCGTAACTTTTAAAAAGTTTAAAAAATAATTCGAAACAGTGAATATTTTCCGTTATAATTACACTCGACAACCAATACTAAATGGAATTTTCCCTTCTATTCGATAGCCTTTAAGCCATAACCAAAAAGGGCATCAAACAGGCACGTAAATAATTGTAATAAGAATTGTAGCAATACACCTCCCCCCTTCCCCTTTCATAAAAATATTTTTAGATGAAAGACTGCACTTATGGAATAGCTTCATGTGGTAATTGTGTGGCACAATTTAGCCGCCGTATAGAAGTTACAAATTTAAAAGTAGAAAACCTTAAAGCTGGGCAATTTATTGTTGCAGTTAATTCTAAATTTAATGATCAAGCAATTCTTAAAAATATTCATATACTTGGAAAATCAGCAAAACAAGTATATCCTTGTAAAATATTTAATGGAGTAAAAGGAAATGGAAATTTTAAACTTGAAAAAATGGGGGCAGATGGAAAACATTGTAAATATAATAATAATGATATTCATTTTAATTAGGTAATATTTTAAAAATATTGTTATAGTTTAATTGTTAATTATTGTTATATGTTGATATATATATTTAGTATGTTAATGTTATAATTTAATTAAAAATTTTTGTAAATAAATGTTTAAAAACTAAATCAGCTTGAGAATATTTATTTTGTATAGGATGGTTTGTCTGGTTCTTATATTGGAATTAAAATTTATAATCCCAAAAAGTCTTGAAATTTCAGACTCAAGATGGGAAAAAATTTTTCAAAAATAAAGAGAGAGGAAGATATTAGTAGAAAAATTTAAAAAAAGAAATTTACGAAAAATTAATTAAGATTTTATTTAGATAAATTTTAAAAGATAGGCATTCTAATCTTCTCAAAAAACATATAGGCATTAAACAAATAATTTAAAAAATTTTATTAAAAACCCTACCTGAAACAAAGGTAAAATTTAAATTGTAATTTACTTTATTTTTAATTTTGGATATATTTATAATCAATTTAAAAAATAAATGTAATTTTAAATAAATTAACAAAAATAAAATGTTTGCGCAGCAGATTTAAATAAATAAATTTGTTTTGTCCACAAAGATTTGGCCATCATAAGCTTTGTAAAAGTAAAGGATTAACGCAAGTATAGAAAGAGGAATGACCGGTATGAACAAAGAAATTGAAAAAGAAAAACAAATTAATCTATTAAAGAAAAACCATATGGGGACATAAAACTCAAGTGGAAGGAGGGAGGGGGAAAATATTCATTTTAAGAATTTACTTGAATAAATATTTGTAGTAGTACATATAATTTTAAATAGAATAACAAGATAAAATACCAAGAAAAAGATTTTAATATCTCTAGAAATCTTCCATTGATGATGCCTATTATTGTTTTAGGACAAACTTTGTGAAATTTAATTAATAGAAAAATTTAAATAAATTATTTCTATACATACAATAATAATGTCTTTTTAGTATTTTCGTGTAGAAAAAAAATTATAAGGGCGCACATATGGAATAAACTCAGAAATTTTATAACACTTGAACAGGCAAAACAAAAATAAAATTGTAAATATAATTCAAAGATTGTTTAAGAAATATTATTTTTATAATTTAAAAATAATATTTTATTTATAAAAAATATTTTTTTGGATAAAAATAGTTATTAATATGCAGTTTATGAAAATTTATATTATTTAGTTAAGGAAAAACGAAAATGCCCCCACGCGGGATTGAACCGCGGACCTTCAGTTTACGAGACTGACGCTCTACCACTGAGCTATAGAGGCACACATTCAAAATATTTATTTTGACCTTATCAATTGAGAAAATAAATAAAATAAATTCTATTTCCTCAAAATTTTTTTTATTATTTTTATCATAATTAATTTTAAATTGATTTTAAATTTAATTAAATTATTTAACAATTACTTAAATGCTTTTAAAAATTTATTAAACCCTTTTAAAATATTTTTAAAATTATTTAAATATTTTTAATAAAAATATTCTTTCCCGAGGCTTTGCTTTTAATGCTTTTTTGTTAGTAAAATGCGTAATTATAATTTAATTTTAGTCGCAAAAAAATATTTAAAGAAAGTATTTATTTTTATTCATCTAAAAAGTATGAAAAAACGATTAAAATAAATAATTGTTTTTAAAAGTAATTAATTAAATAATCAAAATTTTTTTCTAAATGCAAATTAACTAAAAAAGAAATTAAAGCTTAAACTAAATATTTAACTTGAAGATTTGCAAGATTAAATTTTGGGAAAATGGTTTTTTCAAAAAGTTAGGAGGAATTTAATCGTGAATTTCTGGAAGAATATCATTTAAACCAGAATTTAAATAGAAAATCATGCGGGGGTTATTTTATAAAAAGTAATGGAAGGGAGGGCTTTGATTAGGAATGTAAATTTTTTAATTTATGAATTAATATGAATATCGCTTTTTTTATAAATGCAATAAGTTCCATCCCCTCCATTATCATTTTCCGATTGAAGAACTTTTGGATTTTTACCTTGATTATTTCCTTCGAATACTTTGCAAGGAAATACTTGATTTGCTGTTGATCCATAAATATGAATATTTTTGAGGGTAGCTCTCTCTCCGTAATTTTTATTTACCCCAACAACATATTGTCCAGCTTCGAGGTTTCTTATAGTTAAACCGTCTACATGAACTTCACGGTTACGATATTGCTGCTTACAGTTACCACAGGGACGGATTCCTTGTCCAGCACCGTCTATCTTAAAATTATTTAATGATTTACATTTTCTTTTGTGATACTAAGGTTCACATTGGAAAAACATAACCTAGACCGATAAGATCATTCTTGATATCCAAACAAGTAATGGGTCGGATTGAGAAATCGGGTCAGTTATAAATTTAATTTGCTTGAAAATAACGACAAAAATTTTTGGAATTGCTTTTTTGGAATAAAAGAATGAATTTGGACGTAAATTAAATTTGGATATCGACATAAGTATTCCCCGAAGTCTTTAGAATTGTTCTATAACCCCTAACTTAAATAAATAAAAATGTACAAACGTAAAAGTTGTTGACATATAATTTTCCAGCACCGTCGAATTGTATCGTTTTTCCTTTACCAAGTCTTGCACCTCCACCGTTAATTTTATACACAGAGTTTGGACTAGTGCCTAAAATAATAAATTTTATTTAATAATTATATTATCAATTTATTATGTCAATAGTTATGACACAATAAATAATTCACTTAAACTAACCAAATAAACTAATAGAATCATCTAAAACATGATCATTCCAACAATCTTCAATAGTACAAGTTCCAAGACAATGAAAACCATCAGCACCTTCAACAATACATCTCGATATTTTAACTCCATCTGCTATTTCAATTACTGGCTTCATAAATTCTCCACTGCCCCAACCGCCTCCAGTTGGCACATATTTTTTATAATTACAATCCAAGTGTTTTGTAACTTTTTTTGTGTCAGTAAGCTAAAAAATATTTTAAATTATCCCTATAAATATATACTACCGGAATTGTTTGTGTTGGAGTTGGCCATTTAACATCATCACCCAACCCCTTTTCCAAAGACACCGAGACCAAGAAAATAATTAACAAAAAATCATTCATTATTTTTTATTTTTTTTAAATATTTTTACCTTAAAATATTTAACATTAAAAAATAAAATTTTAAATTAGATTTAGTACAATCAAAAAATCTTTTAATATACAGGTTACAAAATAAATATTCTACTCTTTTTTTATGATAGATCTACAGGCTGACATACAACTCTGTATCCAAGCAAATGGTGGGCACTTTGAAAATTCTTGCTAATATCCGTTCCTTATTTAGTTCTCTATCATATAAACTTTATTTTATCTATTTATCTTTAATTTGAATAAAGTTATGGCGAGGGTAACGAGTCCCATATCTTTTATGTTACCCTGTGGAAATTGAAGAAATCTTAATAAATAATCAAGGAAATGTATATGGGTGGGGTGCTATTTTAACAAACTAGGAATACAACATTTGTTTATATTTATGAACAAAATCCGAAGTCTACTTATAAATCTTATAAAACCGGCTACTAATTAATACCAAAAGTTCTGACATTCATGCAACACTGACAGGTAATTTTAGATTTCAGTAACCTTAGACAATATTTGAAAAAAATATTAATAAAAAAATGAATAAAAATATATAAAATGATAAATGATGGGCGTTTTTAAATGTTTATATAAAATAAGAAAAAAGATTTTTTTATTTTTTAAAATTATTTACTGCCAATATTTATTTTTAAACCAACGTGGATTGAATTAAATATTTAAAAAAGCAAAGTTAATTTTTGCTTGGATTTACGGAGGTTTTGCCTTTCCTCAAAATTTAAATTAATCTCTGTCAGCATCTTTCGCTTCCGATGTTTAATCCATCTCTGATATATCTTCATTCTTAAGCTTCTCTGGCATAGCAGAATGCGAAAGACATATCGCTTACATACATGTGTATATCCAGATTTTCCTTCTAAACAAATAAATTTTATTTTTTTTATTAAAAAATCATTTGAATCATTTGAATTTTTTATTTAAAAAAAATTTTTTTTATTTTAAAATTATATAAAAATTAAAATTTAATTTTTATATTTAATTAGCTTTAAGTCATTCATTTTAAAATTTTTATATTTTTTAAATTTATATATTTTTTTAAATATTTTTTTGCAATAAAGTATTAAAATATACCACATTAATAATAATTAATGAAAAAAAATTTTTTAATAAATAATTTTATTTTAATGGAAATATAATCAATTTAAATTTATTTGAAAAAATTTGTAAGGAAAATTTTATTTAAAACAATTGTCGGATATTTTTCTTAAATTTTAGTTCCGATATTTTCCGAGGTCTTAAGCACACAAAATAACAATTTATTTAGATTAAAAAATAAAAATATAGACGAAAGTGGATTTAGGGCTGGATCAGTTGAAAAAGATTTGGGACTAGCCTGGCTAGTAAGCAGTGCTTGGAAATTTCAGACTCTTCTTCGTACTTGCTTATTCTTGGCCTCGTACCTCGTACTCGTATTTCGTACATAAGTACGAGTACGAATTTTGGTACGAGCTTCCCAGCATTGCTAGTAAGGTACAATTAGTTACAATTAGAATCTGACATTCACTTTATCTATCTATCATAATCACCACTAAATTACACCATTAAATTACACAACAAACCTTATTTAAATTTTTCAATTATTTGCTAAATAGAAGGATTTATTATTTCTATTTATTTTTGTTTTTAAAAAATTTTTTTTAAATAGATTGAATAATTATCTAAAAACATAAAAAATTTATTAAACATTTTTCTTCTTGACTTTTATGTAATTAATTCTAATTGCTAATTTACTTTAAATCCATTCAATATTATATTTTCAATGATTAAATAATTATTTATATCATTTTTGTCTATCCTTTATCCGACTATTTATTTATTATGACCCCATTTACATTTCCTTTTATGATTTTAATTAATAAAAAATTAGTTGATAATTGTCGATATTTTATGTTTATTTAATATTAATTTAATTAAATTTTGCCTTTCTAAAAGAATAATAACTAATTAAATTTTATTCCAACCTTTTACTTTATTTTTCAATAACTCTGAACCCCTATTTTTTAGAGAAAGCCTTTCTATTAAAACAATTAAATGTACAAAATTAATCAAATATTTATTTTTACTATTTATTTTTTATTTTTTGTTATTTTAATAAATAATTCACAACAATTTGAAGAAGAAATTAGCGAAAAGTCTCTCCGTCATTTATCAAATAGAAGATTTAAAAGGGATTTTATGCTTGCAGTAGGAAATTCAAGTGATCCTTTGCCAACTTGTTTTAGAGTAATTTTTGAATTTTTTAATATTTAAAAATTATTTTTTCTCATGACTTTCGGGCCAATTTTTTTTAGCATCCAAAAAACGCTACATAACTAGCCCGCTTCGCGGGCTAGTTATGTAGCGTTTACGTTACTTTATATTTAGTACCTATGCTTTATCCGAAGTACGTTTGGCCTTGGCTGTAGTAAGGTGACCCTATGGGCGTTGGAACCTAAGCCTTGCCCGTTAGGGCCTTCGGCCCAAACTTCGTCCGCTCCGCGGCCGAATGGGCGCTGCGCGCCCATGGAGGGTTTAGTTACGTTGCTTTGCCTTCCGGGGCTGTCTCTAGCCGCTTCGCGGTATTAGAATTATAAATTGCGTAAATTTAAAACAGTAAACTCAAGAGGTAATTTTAACAATTTAATTTATAAATGAAAGAATATTTTAATTTTACAAATTTTTTAATTGCTTAAACAGAGGTTCTCGGTTTCCACTTATATTTTTTAAAAAATAAAAAATTAGTGTACTTACACCCCGCGCCACGCGAAGGCGACCTCTTTAGCGGGGCCCTCCTTTGTGCTTAGTACCTTAAAAACTTTTGATTTTGATATAAGTATTTAAAAGTTTGTTTGGTTGGATTCATTGGTTAAACTTTTATAAAATATTTTCACGTATTTAACTATGCACACAAACTCTGTCCAGTGGGACGTCATAAGTCCTGCAAATTTAAATACATTTAATATCCTATAGTTCTACAAAAGCTAAGCACAAAGGAGGTTATAACCTGTTTAGAATTTTTAATAATTTTATGTTCAATTTTTTCAAATAAAACTACACGTGAATAAATTTATTTTTAACATTTGTCTCTTGATTATCATCTTCGTAAATCTCATTAAAATGTCTATAGGCATCTTCTAATTTATGTGGAACTTTTGTGTTGTACATTAAATCATCTATACTATTGTATACTTGCGAATCTCTGGTCTGTAACAAAAAGCTATTTGTGATATTATAAGAACTTACAATATGTATACAGTCATAGTAATAACGATCTGCATGTACATAAACTTGAATAACTATTGGTGGAAAATTTGCACCTTCTTTTTCAAAACAATAATTATTTTTTAATTCATTTTCATCCATGGTTTCCTCATACTGAAAGTAATCATTAATGCAAGTTTTTGTCATAGGTAAACCGGATATGGTCCTTCTGGATGATGAACATATCCATAATAATTTGTGTCTGTTGGCGAATAGTATAAAATCACCAAATAACGCTGCATGATATAACTGACTAAATTTCCTTCCAAGAAAAAATTAGCATATCGTTTGGAATCTTTTTCTGCAGATGGGAACATTTTTAAACAATATTCTTCAAATGTTATTTTTTCATTTTTTACAGGCGAGTTTGAGTAGTTGAGACATTTTTCAAACCATTCACGATTAATTCTGCCTTTTTTATAAGCATAGTACATTTCTGCCACAACAGCTCTGCGGAGAGCCTTTGTTAACAGGTCTTGAAACAAACGGTGTTGTATTGCAATGTGTCTATCTTCGATGTTCGTATCACAGCCAAGAAGAGAACGAACAATGGCTCTTAATTTTTATAAGTTCCTAGGTATATTTTAGTATTTACCGATAAAAGCTGTCGCCATCTCTAGTAATGTATTCTCCTATGAAACCAAATTCCTTAGGGGCAAACATGAAAAATCCTCTAAGAAACGCTTAAATTGAGAGTTAGAAATAACTCGGCCCGAAGAATTTTTAATTAAACGTATTATAGCTCATTCGACGGGTCTCGACGAGCTCTACAAGAATAATCGAACTCCGAAACCGGTACTTTTCACCGTCGTACCAAAAAAGTCGAAAAAACGACAATTTGTGACAAAAATTTCGGTTTTAGGAAAATAACTTTTCTAGCCATAGGTTACCTCCGGCAAATTATACGTCATTCGACTTGTCTTCTCCTCCTCTACAACCTCCCACAAAAATCCCGTCCCTAACCCTAATCCCTAAAAAGTTATGCCACTTGTGGCAAAGTGTCGTTTTGGGATGTACCTTTTTCTAACTTTATACGTTTTTCAGGGTTTGAAGTTAGAACCCTGAAATTTTTTTTATTCGATAGACAACAAATTAAACGATCGTGCTACGCTTCCAGAATTTTTTTCACCATAAATGAAATGTCGAAAAATTTTGTCGAAAATTTCGACTTCGAATTTCGACTTTTTAAAAGTAGAAAAAAGGTGCGCTGGCAATTTTCCCATATGCCCGAGGCACTCAGAATTCGAATAAAAAAGACCCCAGGTCTCTAGCACTTCCCATTCCCGAGATTTTTGATTTCAAAGGATGAACCACCCTCCTTTTTTTCGAGACTCAAGTTGACCCACCCAGACTCAAGTGACACCCTCAAAAATTTTTTTAAAAAATTCGCCATGGCCGATAACCTATAAGTCCTCGAAATTGGCCCAATCCGGCCAACAACTGGAAAGTTAGAAAAATCACCGATGCCTAACTTCCCAGATCGGACGGGTAACTGCGGCAAAAAATAAAATTTTTTCCCGAAAAAATGCAAAAAACTGTGACTTTTTGCCGGGCCATAACTTGGTCCAACAAATTTTTCCGGACATGCGCGATAGCTCATTCGACGCAGAAGGTCGAGATCTATCGAAATATATATACCTCTTACCCCTAAAATCCGACTTCCAGATGTGAAAGTCGAAAAACCAACAATTTTCGACCGAAAATTTCGTTTTCGATGAATAACTTTTTTAGATGACCGGTCACCTCCGGCAAATTATACGTCATTCGACGCGTAATTACCAGCCCTACAACCTCCCGAAAAAAACTCCTTCCTAGGCCGACTCTTCAAAAAGTTATACCCTCTGTGGCAAAGTGTCGTTTTTGGATGTACCTTTTTCTGGCTTTATAGGTGCCTCGGGGTTTGAAGTTAGAACCCTGGGATTTTTTTTATTCGATAGCCAACGAATCAGTTCTCGGTACTGTGCTTCGAGAATTTTTTTTTACCCCAAACCTGAGGTCGAAAAATTTTTTCGAAAATTTTGACTTCGAATTTCGACTTTTTAAAAGTCGAAAAAAGGTGCGCTGGCAATTTTCCCATATGCCCCGGCCATACAGAATTCTAACAAAAAAGACCTCACCCCTCTAGCACTTCCCGTTCTTGAGATCTTTGATTCTTTATGGCGACCCGCACTTTCTAGGTCGAATTTCGACCTCTTAACGCCGGAATTTCCGACTTTTTATATTTTTTTTACCGACTAAATCATACTTCCGCTTTCGAATGGTACCTCTCCCGAGCAGGGCTGATCGAAATAAAAATATTTTTTATTTCGAATCGAAACGAAATAAAAAAATTCCTATTTCGTTTCGGAGCGAAACGAAACGAAATGAGCTTGTTTCGGACGAAACGAAACGAAATAAACGAAATAAAATAAAAATTAAAAAATATTTATTTTTCAGTTCATAGAAGCTTTTAATCGATATTTAAATCATAAATATGCACCTCAAGAGCTAGTTGCGTGACAAAAGCATACCATAAACAAAGTGGGCCCAACAAATCTGACGATATCCACCTTAATCCCCTCAAATCTACATATATCCGCCATAATCCTCCAATATCCTATTAAAATCCATCGATATATCCAAATTTACTTTGGAGTATACCACTTTAGATATCGATCAAGAGGGATATTAAGAGAGATCTTCTATATCCCTTGAGATATCATCTATATATTTTCTACATCCACCTCTCAAAACCAACGATATTTCCCCGATATTTCCTTAATCTCGGCAATACCACAATAACACCGTAATCTTACCAAATCGCCCGCAATATCACTAATCCCTCGAGATCTCTTTTAATCCTCCGCACAATGTAATAAAAATTTTAGTCGGCAGGCCAGGTAGTATTCTAAAGTGGATTAGACTATATCCCCATTAATCCATTTAAATTAACATATATCTGCCTTAATCCACTACGGAGTATACCACTAAGGTCCACTACGGAGTATACCACTATATCTAGAGGGATATTTTTTTAGCGCCGCAGGCAAAATTTTTTACATTTTGGAGCTCAAGAAGCCAAATTTCTTCCATTTTCAGCGCCGCAGGCGAAAATTTTTTAATTTTAAGCTGTTTATATGACAGAATCACTAAAAAAGTAATGATATTTTCCATAAATTCCCGTCATTAGGGGTGCACTTTCTCACTTTTTTTTGTTTCGTTTCGTCCGGAATTTTGGTTATTTCGTTTCGAAACGAAACGAAATAAATTTTTTTCTGTTTCGTTCCGAAACGAAACGAAATGGAAAAAAGGGCACGAAAGAGCGAAACGAAACGAAACGAAACGAAATTTCGATCAGCCCTGCTCCCGAGTCTCTACGACTTCTGTACGAGGCGGTGGGCAAAACGGCGAAAAATGAACCCCCCTCTTTTTTTTATTTTTAGCATCCAAAAAATGGATAGAAAAAATCTGAGGGTAAACGGAAATCTAATGTTGGAAATCTTTTAAATTCTGGTTTCGGTTTAGGCAAATTCTTTAGCATTCCATTTGGCCATTCTTTTCTTGTAAAATATAAAAATTGTTTTGAATTATCGGCAAAATAAGCGCTGAGTATAATTAAATTAGTTGAAGGCTGTTTTCCATCCAAAAAGTTTTCTGGGCCGATTTTGTCAGTATCGTTTGAATAAAGACATCCAAGATGGACATAATGTCCATAATTGTGAATCTACAAAAATGGAAATTTTTAGAAATTATTTAAAATCGTTTTAGATGTAGGGAATTCACAATAAAATCTTAAATACACCTCGAACATACCGTAAAAGCTGTATTAATGTCCCTCCCTCAAATAATTACCCCGCCTGTATTAGTTACCAGCAAGTGATCGAAACAATAATTACCCAGGGTAGTTAATACAGTTTTTACGGTAGATAGGCCCCATAGGCAACATACTACTATTTAATTTACACACAAGATACATTTTGGGCTTTGTGAGAATTAAATAGAGCACTCCGATCTAAGTTTCAGATTCGCTAATTAATTTTAATTAACGATAATAAATTTAAAAATAAAAAATTAATTAATTTTTTAACCCTTTTCTCGTAATAATAATTATTTTCATTCAATTTTGAATTAATTTGATCACAATTTAAAAGTTCAGAAGAAATGTTGAGTAATTTATTAGCTGCCATTTTCCCTACATTTTGGCTTGAAAAAGAAACTTTTTTAAATTTAAAACTTTAACTAAACTTACTCCAACAAACAAATTAAAGTTTTCTTTTTTATTTTTTCTGTTTTTGTTTCCTCAAAATCAGAATAAAGTTTAAATAATTGTTGGGAACATTGTTGGTTAATTAAATTATTATTTTTGGATAAATTAGAATTTATGTAAATTAATGGAAGGAAAAATAATTTTAAAATTATTTTGAACATTTTTTGAATTTTTTATGGAAGAAATTTTATTTTTATTTTGTTTCCATAACAACAAATAAATAAATAATTATTTTTCTTAATTTTATAGCAATGCAATAAAGAATGGAGGCAGGATTTTGAAAGGGAATTTGCAATGAATGTTTCTGATTTTTATGATTTCCCTTTTCATCCAAAAGTGCTTGATTATGTTTCTTTTTTGGCATATTGCCGATTAGCTGATAGACAAACACAATGTTTTATTGAAAGATGTAATGATCAAGTAAAGAGAGAAAATTTTTGCAATTTCTTAAGAATTTTTAAAAATTTATAGAACGCCGATCGTGTATTTTCTCCATCAAATTTTCTTTGTACATTTAAACGTCAACATTTCCTTAGAGCCCGTCCCTGTTTAGAAGCAAGTGAACCAATAGGATTTTTACGTTGTGATCGTAGCTGTCAACCTTCTAGTACGGATATTGAAGGAGTGGATAAGCAACGACATACAGAATTGGGGAAAGTATTTTCTGAGACAGAATTGGATGCTTACGAGAAAGAATTAGATAAACTCTGCTCTTTTCAAAAATGTTTTGCTAAATGTCATGAAGAAATTGTTGGTAAGAGAATTTTTGAATTTACATATAAAAATTAATTTTTATTTTACATTATTTATCAAAATTAATGTAAATAATATTTAAATAAAATTTATTTTGAATTTTCTTTTAAAAAATCAGAGCAAATTTGTACTCCAAGTCAAGCAACAATCGCTACAGAATTAATGCAAACCTATCTTAAATGGCATTCTGCTGATTTACTTGATTGGCATTTATTAACTGGAAACGAAAGAATTTTGCCTCAAAGTTGTGCTTTATTAATTCAATTAGAACAAAAAGAAAGACAACAAAAAAGTTTAAAATTAAAAGATTTGGATGAAATAAATGATCCTATTCTAATGGCTATGATGGCTGCTGCTTAAATGGTTTCTAAAGAGATTTTTAAATTATTAAATAAATTATTTTTAAATAAATAATCATTTTTATTATTTTAATTTAAAAAACAAATAATTATATTAACAAACAACAACAATGTCTTATAAACATTATTTACATTTCTCAATTTCTTGGCTTTTGAAGGATACAATTTCAAATTGTTCTGTATCCTATTAAAAGATAGGGAATTTGTAATCACAGTTTAACTGACCTCATTAAAGCTCAATTGTTCACTTTCAGGAAATAAATTTCCATTTAACCATTCAGTAATTTCTTCACTATGATAGGGAACACTTACATGAGCCTAAATAAATAGTTAAAAAGAATTTTTAATTTAAAAATAAATTTAAATAATTTTAAATACACTGCGTTTCAAAAAGATGGCACACCATGTTTTTTCGATATATGTAAGTCAACGGAAAAGTGTCTATTTCGTTTGAAATTTTTTCTGTAATTAGGTTTGATCAATATAATGCTATTAAAAAGACCCGAGCGAAAAAACCATTTTTTAAAAATTTTTTATAAAATAATTTTCAATTTTTCACTGTTTCAAAAAGATGGCACATCTTAAATTTTCGACATTAGGAGTGGTCTGAAAAATCTACAAAAATTCCTATAAACATATCTATTGATGTCGATAGAAAATACAAAAGAAACGAAGTTCTAATATGTCTCCTTCATTGAGATCTCAAAATCCGAAAATCAACGGAAAACAGGGGGTGAACGTCTTTAAAAAATATTTTCGACCCCTTATAGACTAAATTAAATTTTCATTTTATGCTTTTCTGAAAGCCCTTTAAATTTGGTATAAGAAACCCTTATTGTCAATTAAGCGAAAAATTTTACATGTGAGATATTGAGTGTTAAATTCAATAAACATGAGAATCATTAAATTTACCCCTTTCTGAGCACCTTAAAAATTTAATGAAGTACAACTTAATGAAAAAAAATTTCTGTAAAATAAAAATTGCTGGTATTATAGCAAATTTAAAGGGCTTTCAGAAAAGCATAAAATGAAAATTTAATTTAGTCTATAAGGGGTCGAAAATATTTTTTAAAGACGTTCACCCCCTGTTTTCCGTTGATTTTCGGATTTTGAGATCTCAATGAAGGAGACATATTAGAACTTCGTTTCTTTTGTATTTTCTATCGACATCAATAGATATGTTTATAGGAATTTTTGTAGATTTTTCAGACCACTCCTAATGTCGAAAATTTAAGATGTGCCATCTTTTTGAAACAGTGAAAAATTGAAAATTATTTTATAAAAAATTTTTAAAAAATGGTTTTTTCGCTCGGGTCTTTTTAATAGCATTATATTGATCAAACCTAATTACAGAAAAAATTTCAAACGAAATAGACACTTTTCCGTTGACTTATATCGAAAAAACATGGTGTGCCATCTTTTTGAAACTAAAATCTTTTTGAAATCTTTTTGAAACTCTTTTTGAAACTAAAATCTAAAATATTCCATCTTTTTGAAACTCTTTTTGAAACTAAAATCTAAAATATTCCATACCTGTGCTTTTGGCGGGCTCCCTCTAAAAAGACTGATGCACCCAGTACCGAATGAAATAATACCGACGATGAACCAACGTCTTGTTCTACCATATCTATCATCCGCAAATTGTGCAATAACACCTCCTCCACTGTCTCCCTTTTTAAAAGATTTTTTTGAAATTTAGGAAAGTTTTAAAAAAACATTGCAAAATCCTTCTGTGAAAGTCTCCATAGTACAAATTAGATCATAAATTCTAGTCATATCTAAGTAATTTCCAAATTTCGACACTTGATTTAAGCATTGCTGATCTGTCCAAATTCCAGGTAATTTAAGCAAGTGTAATTGAGAATGTGCGTATAGTAGACACCCTCCTCTTTTATTTTTTCCATGACATTCTTGTGTGCCAGCTAGTAAATTAAAAATAAAATTAATTTAAAAATAAATATAAAATTCGTATTTAATGGAACCTGAATTTATGAATTTTTAAAAATAAAATTTACATAGGTAAATTAATTTTGTGGCACTTTTCCGTTATGAGCTCTTATTTCTTTCTCTTTCCCTTCATGCTCTAAAAAGTTAGAAATGTTCAAAGGCCACTAATTATTTTGAGGTCATGTAAAAGCAAGTTATTTTTTGTTTGTAATTCAGGGAAAGGCGACAAAAAAATTCTAAAATTTACGATCAGGTCCCCATCCATAAGCAAGCACTGGATAAGCATTTACTTGCCAATCTATATTTTTTGTATTCTCGTGTAGATTTAATAGACACTAAAATTTAATTTTACTTTTAAATATTCAAATATTCTTTATTTATTTATCACAATATGATTAGCTATATCAGCAGGAACATCTTCTTCAAGTTCAATAATTGCATAATCGTCTAAAAATTATTTAATTCATAAAAAAATAATTTTAGCTACTAACAATGTAAACATTTTGCATCAAAATATTGTGAATATTTTGCTCTAAATGATGAATTTAAAAAGGATTTTTAATTATTTTTTTGTAAACTTTAAAATTCTGAATCGTCTCTGATGTGTTTTTGATTTGCATTCTCCAAATACAACATTACTGTTTATTAGACAATTGGATCCAATATAAACTGTAATGTAATTGTGAACATCTGTCTCCGGTATTGCACTTTGTTCATATGAACTTTTGAAGAAATGAGAAATTTAAATACATTGTTTTGAGATTTTTTTCAGAAATTGTTTTGATTTTTATTTTATTTTTTGACTATTCTGAAATCAATTTTCTAATTTTATTTTTGATTTATTGTGATTTTTAACTTTTTTCACTTACTAACAACAGTGTGTATTGTGACATTCTACTTCATCTCTTTTCAATAACTTTCCATACTTAAAGAAACAATGCGCGGCAGTTAGTACATGACGGCGCGAAATTAGTGTACCCGTGCAAGCATATCCATCTTTTTTTAAATTTTAATTTAAAATAATTATTTCCTATTACCATATCCATCTAAATGTTTGTGTATAGCTACAGCCCAGGGTAATTGACCCTCCTCGACTCCATGACCACCCATTACTTTTCTGTGTATATGTTCGTCATGATGATAGTGTGTCTCATTTAAATGTCTAAAGGATGAATTTTTGTAATTAAAATGGTGATTATGTCTATGATGGTAATTGTGTGGACGAAATCTTTTATATCTACTAACAAAATGGTTGTCCTTTAATTTTGGAAGATTTAAATAAAAATTAAATATTTAAAATTACATTATCAACGTGTAAAGGCAATCCACAACGATGAGAATCTTTTTTTAAGTTTTCTAATCTATTAAAATAAATTTTAAAAATAACCATAATGTAATGGAGGAAGTTCTCCTTCCTCGAAATCTTCTAGTTTAGTCCATGTATTTGATGCATAATTTAAGGGTTCAAATTCGTTTGAAACACCTTGATTGGATAAATTAATTTGTTAATTAATATTTTAATTAAATTAAAATATTAATTTAAATATATACCTATTAAAATAATTAAAATATATTTTAACATAAATTGTGTAATTACTGACATTCTCCAGTAAATATTAGTAAAAAATATATTAATTTAATTAAATGAGATTACTAATGAATTTAAATAAAATTATTTATTTGAATATAAAATTACTATATTACTAAAATAATAATTATTTTTTCAGCTAGATCATCTAATTTTAGCTAAATAATTAATGATATGAATCATTAAATATTTATATTTTAATAAATTGTTCACAAATTTCTAAATTTTACGGAGAACTACTATTTACCGTAAATACTGAAATAATGTCCCTCTTCAAATAATTACTTCCTCCAGCGAGTGGTTGAGACAATAATTACCCTGGGTAATTATTTTAGCAAATACGTCAATGTTTTTATGAGAGATATATGAATAATCTCGAATACTTCGAATTCGATAAAGTTTTTAGTAAATATTATAAATAATTATATAATTGTTTATAATTTTGCTATAAATTTGGTTAAGTTTTATATCGATATTTATTTATTTAATATTTCCAAAATTGGATTTGAAGAACTTGGCAAATAACAACACTTGTTGCCGTCTTTATTCTTTTTTGTCAGTATATTTGCATTCATTTTTTCGGCAGTAAAAAATTCTCAAAAATTTTTTTTTTTCATTTCCGCATCTTTGCTTCTTTATTTTTTATTTTTTCTTTTATTTTACAAATAAATGTTTTTTAACGATGCTCACAAAAAAATTGAATTTATTTTATCAATTTTTAGAAATGTTTTATTTTTTACATACTAGTTTCCCTATAAAAGCTTTTTTGGAAGTTATCTCAGAATTTGAAAAATCCTGCAGACAAAATTTATTATGTACTTAATCAAAGTGATCAAAGTGAAGTATTTAATCAAAGTGATTAAATACTTATAATAATTTCTATATAACCATTTCCACCTCTTATTCTCCCCTTCTTCATTTTCAATGCCAAATTTCTTGGCACATTTTTTGGTTATTTTGTTTGTTCCTTTAGTTGTTTTAAATCCCCTTAGGGCTTTTTTAAAGAAAAGTAAAAGGAAAGCTCTTCGTTCAATAGGAAATTATTGCTTTTATGCCCATCCCAAAAAAAGGGAATTTAAATCGGAAAAATGGGGTGAAGGAGCAAACGTTTTTACGTGAAGAAATATTATCTGGAAAAAATATTTAGATGAATGAGTTTGCTTAAGTGTTATGTTCTCCAAATTCTTCCAATTTTTTTAAACAATAAGAGAGTACGGCTACTTTGCTATTTTAGTTATTATTGTGCTATTTTTGCCCTTGTTTTTAAAAAAATCCAATATGTATATTATAGAAAAATATTAAATTAATACATACCCTCTTAATTAAATTATTTTAATTATCATAACTTACCTATTTAGATATGTGATTAACTCATTTGATAATTAATAAATGTTCTACTCTTCCCGTCTTTTTCCCATAATAATGTTAATCACCAATATTGCCTTATTGTTACCGCCTTCAGCATTAACCTCCTCATCTTCACTTTTTTGTCCCGAAATGGAATGCCCATCACAGATTTTTAAAGAAAAAGAGAAGAAAATTACTTCAAAATTTGAACAATTGTCTACTTCAAATAGTAAAACTAACAAGAAAAAACTCGAAAATTTATTTCACTTCATTGCGTTAACACAGGCATTATTTTAAATATGAATTTTTAAAAACTATATACAAATAAATGGTCATTAATAATAACCAAGACTCTTTGGGATTAAATTATATGTTAAGCTTAACGTCCTAAATTTAATAAAAATTTAATTAATAATCGAGCTTTCCCTTTTTTATTTATCCTAGCCATTAAAAGTCTCTCTAAATTTCCCTCTAAATCCCCTCCAAATTTTTTTACTTTTAAAGGATTGTCAACTTATAATTTCCCGTCCAGATCAACTTTACAAACTATCAACATTGCAAATTAATTATAAATTTAACGAATGTAGTTCTAATAAAGTTAAATTAGTGTGGCATTTTGCTTCAGCTACTCCTTCCCTTTTACTCTTCCAAAAAAGATCAGAAAATGAATTGTGTGTTCTTCCAGTTGAGACACCCAATCCTTTGAATATTCAAGGAAATGAACTTTTTTGGTTTTTTTTATTTTTAAATTATAATTTAAATTCTTTTCTACTAAATCAGTTATTCTATACGTTCATCCCTCATTCATCATGCAAAATGTTCTCGTCTGAATGGAATTATAATTGAAATAGAAAAATTATTTTCGGATGAATTATACTCTGATTTATTTTATTTAATGGAATATTCTTCTTCAAATAATCCTCCTTTATTACATCAATTAAGACTTTCATTAAATGGCCAATTAAGTATTACAGGAGAACTCTTTCCTGTTGCTTCACATATTAGATTTAATAATTTATCTCCAGATTTTTTGCTCTCAAATGATCCACAAACTAAAAGGCTTTTTATTGTTCCGAAAAAGTTAAGTGTAAATTCTATGGTGGAATGGACTTGTCCTTTTGATTTGTTATACAGGCAAGGATTATATTTTTGTAATATAAACTGGAATCTCGAATAATTTGACTCGAGATAATTATTAAGATTAATGGATTTTGGTTTAGTAAGTATGTTAACTAAAAGATAATTTTTTAGTTAAGAATCTCGTGTCAGGTTTCTGATTGCCTTCTTATCTTTTTTTCGGTACTTGTGTTTTTTAAATTCGGTACTTGTGTTCTTCGTTTTAGAACCTCCGGCCCAGTGCTCTAGATGAGTAGACTACACAAGTACCCTAAATTCTAACTTAAACAAATTAATATCTTTGAGATTATTTCGAGAAAGCCAAAATAATTAATTCTAATTTTAAGGCAAGAACAGACAGAATTCCAACGCTTTCAAATTTTACCGAACAGAAGGTAAAGTTATAATTAAAATTTTAAATAATTAAAGTTTAAAGTAAAGGTCTTCATTACAACAACAATGGAAAATCAGCGGATTTTCTGTCGATAGAAATTTAATTGCATTTACCGTTTCAAACTTTTCTTCTCATTGTACCAAAATTCCCTCGACAGAATTATTTCTTGCTAAAATACCGTCTGATAATTCAAAAACAGTATCTATAGCAGAAACTCATTGTGCTCTTAATTTAATGCCTTTTGATATTAATTTTATGATAATTAGTGAAAAAACACTCGCTGAACTGACAACAAGAGGGCCTCTTCCACAAATGGGTTGTTTTAAATTTTTAAATTTAATATTTTATCATTTTTAGATGAAACATTAATTGAGAAGGTTAATAGAAACAAATATAGACATGCTACAAAACTTGATGAAAAAATACTAAATCAAAGAAAACAACAAAAAACGACAGCAAAACCATTCAGTGCCATAATAAAATTTTTAGACAGAATAACTACACAACCAACAATTGCTTCAACAACATTTCAAACAACAATTAAGACATCAATTGAAAAACAGACAAAAACAACAACAAAAACATCGAACATAGAAAAACAAACAAATTTTGGAGTTAAAACAACGCAGCAAACAACAAAACAAACACCTAAACAAACACCAAAACAGACACCAAAACCAGCACAAAATAAAAACATCGAGATTAAAACAACGCAACAAACAACAACAGAAACACCAGAACAAACTCAACAAACAAAAACAAATTTTAATTCTGAAACAGGAAATTCTGATTCGTCTATTCATTCAATTCCGATTCGTGTAAAACCGGAGAGTATTATTGAAGAGGAAGGAGAACAATTGGGAGATTATATTTATGTTGAGGATCCGTTAATGGAAGAACTTGTAATAATAATTAATTAATTTTTAATTAAAATATTATTTTTTAAATAGCCATTTGATGAGGAGAATGATTTACAGAATGATGAAGAGGAACATAATCTAGTACCGCTTCCCGGGGAAGAAGTGGGGGAAGTAAGAGAGGACGAAAAAAAAGAAATTCAAAACCAAACAGAAAGTCAAAGTTTAAATTCGGCAATTTTTAGGAAAGAAATCGGAAGATGGATATTAATCGTTTTTACATTATTATTAATAATTTTGAGATAATAAACTAAAAGAGTAACTGATTGTTTGGGAACTGATCTAGTTCTAATTCCTAGATCAAGCACAAGACCACTTTCATGCAGTAAAGCAGATGGGCTATAGCTATATCTCTCCTTTAGCTAGAGCAAAAGGTTAATCGGCGGCTGGAAGTGAACCAGCATCTTCAGTATACCGGACTGATGTGTTAGCCATTACACCACGCCGCCCACTGCACAGCCCTAAGAATTAAATAGCTATGTAGGTATCAGGGGTGTGCCGTTTCGTCTTTCGCCTTTCGTCTTTCGCCTTATTTTCGTCTTTTTTGGTGTTTCGTCTTTCGCCTTTCGTCTTTCGCTTTTTAAAAAGACTTTCGCCTTTTCGCCTTTCGTCTTTCGCTTTTTTGGGCGAAAGGCGAAAATATTATACACCCCTAATGATGGTATGTGAGGAAAAGTTGGTAATTTGGAGAAGAAAAGAAAGAGAAAAACTAAGGACGAGTGGGGATAAATATATGTATAATTTTCTTGTAACTGAATAAAGTGATTGATGGTTGAGTGGTAAGTTGTTAGACTTCGACTAGCGACCATTTTATTATTGTTAGGTTCGGACCAAATTTAGGGACAAGATTTTTATTTACATATTATGAATAGAATAATTATAATTTTTCTATGAAAAAATTATTTTTTTAATTTAAAAAGTGAATTTTCCGTGCCTTAGACACCTTATATTTTCAAAATTTTCGCCTGCGGCGCTTAAAAAGTTAATACAGGTTATTTTCAAGCAGTGGTATCTATTGCGGCGCAAAAAGGGAAGAAATCTTTGAAAGTAGGTAATTAACCAAAGCTTTAGTTTAACCGATATCTAGAGATTTTTCCTCATTACAGTTGTTTCGTCTTTCGCCTTTCGTCTTTCGCCTTATTTTCGTCTTTTTTGTTGTTTCGTCTTTCGCCTTTCGTCTTTCGCTTTTTAAAATGACTTTCGCCTTTTCGTCTTTCGTGTTTCGCCTTTTAAATCGACTTTCGCCTTTTCGCCTTTCGTCTTTCGCTTTTTAAAATCTGTTTCGGCACACCCCTGGTAGGTATATGTTTTAAAATGCAACAGTTAACAAAAGTTTTCTATCGTTTCTTTTATTTTCTTTAGATTAACAAAAATATATTTCTTTTATTTAACATATAATTGATGGCTTAAAAAATGATTGAGGGCTTATTTTTGAAAAAAAAATTCTAAACATTATTTCAGCCAAAATATTACACACACAAACATAGCCTTCAATTAAATTAAAATAATTTAAACAGTAAATTCAAAACATCCATCAAGTAAAGATCGCCTTTCATCTGTACTTCCAGACTGATGACTTCCTTTACGTTTATTTTGTATATCACCAGGAATTAGTGTTGTAGTTGATTTGTGAATTGATGGAGTTGGTATTGGAAGAGAAGATGGGGAGGGTGGAGGTAGAATTTTTGGTAATTGAAGTTTTAAAGAATCTGCTCTACTGGGAATGTTTGTTTGTTGTTGTGTTCTGAAAAAATAGAAAATTATTAAAAATCCGAGAGAGAGAGAGAGAGAGCCCATTCATAATGATACATATATGTAAAAATGTACTATAAATACCCTTGGATTTATCCTCATTCAACCAACTCAACAGAGGCTCCGTTCATCTACTCATCTACTACTCGTCTACTCACGCTCATTCGACCGGTGGGGTATGATTCCGTGCACACGATTCCGTGCACACGTTTCCGTGCACACGATTCCGTGCAGGCACGTTTCCGTGCACACGATTCCGTGCAGGCACGTTTCCGTGCACACGATTCCGTGCACACGTTTCCGTGCCCAATTTCTTTTTAATATAATAAACAATAAGAAAAGGTTTTGAGGGGTACAGTGAATATATAGGGACTTGTGCATGACATCGAGACATCAACAAGGGGATATTGGTGGATATGGAGAAAAAAATCTAAAAAAAATTTTTTTTTATTTTGAAAAAAATTAGAAGAACCCTGCTTCTAGCCTATGACTAACAGAATCTTCGCTGGAAAAACTGTTTTTGTGCTGCTACGGAGGGTAGGCCGGGCATGGTCTTCGCTACACGATGGCCGTGCTTCGCTGCGGTCGTGCTCGCTTCGCTCGCGGCGACCGTAGCGAAGCGGCGGCCGTCGTTCCGCTCGACATGCCCGGCTTCCTCCGCAGCGGCAAAAACTTTTTTCCGCGTAAATTTTTTGAATTGAAAAGAAAAATACTGAAGCAAAGTTGATAAGTTGATTACAAGGGGGATTAAAATACTTAAAAAATATATAAAATTTTATAAAAATTTAAAAAAATAAAAATATTTAAATAATTGGGCACGGAAACGTGTTTTTTATAACGGACACGGAAACGTGTGCACGGAATCGTGCCCGCACGGAAACGTGCCTGCACGGAATCGTGTGCACGGAATCGTGTGCACGGAATCGTGCGCACGGAATCGTGTCTAACCGCATTCGACGACCATGGCTACTCCGATTGCTGTGGATCCTGACTCTGTTGTTGTGGAGGCAAACGGCGGGACTTCACCAATCGTGCTGGAGAATGCAAGTCCTCATGTAAGTCCTCAAGTCCTCCTCCTCCATCCTTTACATCGTTTAATCTTTCTTTTTTATTTAGAATCGCTACTGCTACAAGGTCAAGTCGACGAACAATGAGCACTACCGTGTCAGCTCTGTCTACGGATTCATTGAACCTCTGGGCTCTGTGAAGATCGACGTGAACCGATTGGTGAGGAGTTTTGGATTTTAAACAAATAATGGGGTGTTAACCTTTAACTTCTTTTATTTTTTCTAGCCTGGCCCGCCGAAAAGTGATGATCGTCTGGAGATTCTGTTCCAGCCTGTCGAAGCTAGTCAAACTGATCCGAAAGGACCATTCGCCAATGGAGCATCGGAGTTCAAGCTGGATGTGAAGCTGTGCGCGGAATGAAGAGGGCTTTCCTTGAGACGGAGACGATAATAAAAGCTGTGATATTCCTCTCGATAGAAAGTATATGTATGCCTCATAAATGTATATATGCCCCCTAAATGTCTTTGTATTAGACCCTCAATTCTTTGCATTCACTTTGTTTATAATATATGGTTCTTTTTACTCACCCATTATTGTTGTATATATTTTGGTTCAATAAAAATTGTAAATTTTTTGTCCATTTTTTAATAGGATTAAATACCAATGGGTATTTGAGTTAATATTTCTGTTTGAGCATTGGTATAACCCAAACATTTTTATATTTGAGAGTGCAAGTCCCCACGTAAAGACAAATTTCACCTTTTTGTTTCTTAATCCCAATGGGTAAAATACCACTCCCTGTGAAGGGCTTTGCTTGTGATGGAGATTCTTGTATTCTCCATAAAGTTTACGTAAATCTCATTTTCACCTTTAAAAAATAAACTTACTGGCTTGATGTGGCATTTTGTTGCGATGGTAAAGGACGTAAAGCAATTGGAGTTAACTGATTCTGCTTTTGTAAACGTGTTTTTCTTCCAATTTCAATAGGTGTTAAAGGAGGATTATTAATATTTTCTTCGTCCCTTATTGTATTATTGTATTTAATTAATTCATTTGTATCGCTTTCCAGTAAGCGTTCTTTTGTTAAATGTGAAATAATTCCACAGCCAAAACCATCACCTAACGAGAAATTTTTTTTTAAAGTTCTAAAAAAATAAAAAATAAGGTTAGAAAGAACCGAGTAAGTTAATTTACTCATGTCGATACATATTTGACTTTTCCAAGTCTTTAAGTCTATAATATACTTACCTAAAACATTAACACTTGTCCGTATTCTATCAAGCAACCAATCGACATAAAAAATAATAATTAAAATTTTTTTATTTCAGACTCACTGTAAGTAATAAACTTAAATCTTTATGAGGTAGTCCAACCTAGAAATAATTAATCAAAATTTTTCATTTATTTAAAAACATACAGTTGTTAAAACAAGTGTCAAAACATCCAAACCTTCAAAATAAATAAAGATTAAATAAATTATTTTAAACTTCTCACCAGCTGGAACAGAGCCTGAACCTATAGAGGCTACTGTAGTTGTTATACTTAATTAATTGTTTTTGTGAAAAAATATTTCTTTTATTTCAGACCTTATAGTTAAAATCTCTAAAGCAGTAAGCTTGACATTATGTAGTTGTGCAATAAATATAACCTTTTTTTAATAAAATTTATTTTAAAAATATTTTTAATTAAATAATTAACTGCAACAGCTTCATATAATGCTGTTCCATCCTTTAAAAAAATAATAAAAATTTCTAAAAAATATAATTTAATTATTGCCATAGTTATTGTAGCACCCAAAGGAAGTACAAAACGAGTAACACGCCTATCAATTTTTAAATTTTGTTCTAGTGCCCGAAAAGTGACTGGAAGTGTGGCGCCACTGGAAAATAATTATTTTTAAATATTAAAATAAATTTTAAAAGACCTCGAAGCAGTCCCAAAAGCAGTAGCTATTGCTTGAAGCTTTTAAAAATATTTAAATTTATTTTTATTTAAATAAACCATTCCAGTCATAAAATCAAAAGGTGAATGTCTCGTAATTATATAATAAAGTAATGGAAGTGTTAATAATGAATGTATCATTAAACCACAAATTACAGTTACCTTTTAAATAAAAAATAATAATTTTTTTAAGGAATTTAATTAAATTTATAACATATTTATTTTTAACATAATTTATTTTTAAACTCACTTACAACGTACATAGCCAATGCCTAAAATTTTATTTTTAATTAATAGTTATTTTAAAAAAGAGACACCTGAGCTGTAGCAGTTAAATCATCTATATCAACTATATTTTTGCAAACAAGTGAGAGAATACCTATTGGGTAACACCTTTTTTTTAAATAATTTTAATTTTGTAAGAAATTTTAAGTTAATTTATTACCACATTAAAGCGCTAATCCAACGCATTATAACCTAAATATATCTTGAAATTTTAAAATCTCTTCTCCCCTATTCATACAAAAATATAGAGACAGACATTTCTATCTATTAATCCTAATCTATTCTAATCACGCAATTAAGTAGTTAAAATTAGCGTATCTAATTTAACATTATAGTAATCTATCAAAAATATAGTTTATCGCGATCGAATTTTCTCATCGATACCAACAAGTAACTAACTACCGTATTTCCTATAATACTACACCTGGGAATACTATTTTTCAACCCTACCCAAAAGGGTGTTTTATTTAAGAAGGAGTTCTAATCAGGGTGAGATCAGGGTGAGTAATTTTTAATTCACCTCGACTAATTCGAATTTTAATATTTATTATAGACAGGATTAAATTCACAAAAACTAACAGCATCCAAAACAATAAAGAAATTAATCATCAGCCTAGCCTGATCACCCAAAACTGACAAAATAACACCAAATCCAGTACAAAAAACTAATAGGCCAAGAACATTAACTTCGTTTGTATATTCCAAAATCTGATTTTTTTAAATTAAATTAAATTAATTTTTTATTTAATAATTTTTATACAGGTTTTAGAGGTATTTTTGCTGTTGTTGTGTTTGTTGAATTAAATAAAGGTTTGGAAGGGGGAACTCTTGGGGGCTTGACTGGAACATAATTAGTTTGGACTTGTTGAAATGTTGCCTTTAAATTAATTTAAATTATTAGAAAATATTATTAAAAATACTTGGACAATATTTTCTGGGAACATATTTCTAATTTGATCCAAAAATGTATCAAGTGGCGATAAAGCTCTTAAAATAAAAAAGAATGATTAAATTAATTAATAAAAATATTTTTTTATTTTATTAAATTATTTATGCTTATTTAAAAATTCCTTTTTTTGTCATTTTCATTTTTTATCATGTGTTACAAATCTAATTTTTAATAAATTTTCCAGCTTTTTAAAATCCGTTTTTTAAATCTCCAAATTTTAAGTGTTTCGACTTTAATAAAGACTCTACTTTTTTAATTTACTTTTTCTCTGTATTTAAAATATTTTTTCATCTAAACATACGTGTCATCTAAAGTCCCCTCTCCCAATTCGTGTATAAGTTGAGGATCACCGGGATGAATACAAGAAACAAGCAAAATTCCTGTCTTTGAATAAAATTTAAAAAATAATTTTTTAAGTCAAAGAAAAACATACAAAAGTTGAAAGAAATGTTGTTGTCATATAATAGGCTATAATTGGTATATTTTAGAAAATAATTTTAATTTTAACAGACCAACAGTTAATAACCCCATTCTGCCAGCCACAGAAGGGCGTGTCTGTGCTAATGCAGAAATTACTGAGGAAATTGTTAATGGAAGAATCTTTTAATTTTAATTAATTTTTAAATTAAATTATATTAACCATCATTTCAACAATTTGCATAAATATTTCGCCTGGAAATCCAATCAAAGAAATTGCATCATTACTAAAATAAATTTTGGTAAATACTATTAAACAATTTTTTTAATATTTTAAAATTTTTATAGAGAGTGATTTGAAGCTAATGCTTGTTGTAATAACGAATGATTCAAATTTCTGTGTGTATATAATTAAAAATTTGGATTGACTGAAAAAATTTTTCTTCAAGAAAAAAAATTCTGTATCAGAGCATAAAAGTATTTATAAATTGGAAAATATTTTAATCAAAAATTTAAGTAATACGGGTTTTTTAATAAAGAATTTTTTAATTTTTGAAAAGTTTTCTATAAACAAAATAAAATAAATTATTTTTAACCTTGGATCTAATTGTCGTATTATAAATCCAAGAACAACGCCAATCACATAAAATTAAAATATAATTTAATATTTCAAAATTGAAAATAAATTTTTTTAAATTTAAATATTTATTTAAAAATATATTTATTTATTTACCACAGATTCAACAGTAACTACCAAAAGTAATTCCTTTTTCATTTTAATTTGAATGGCAAAATTAAAAACTTTCTTTTCATTCTAATAATTAAATTTATTCATAAAAATTTTCTGTAAAAAATTAAATTTTTTATGAAAAATTACTTCAATTTTTTAAATAAAAATAATATTAAGTATTTAAAAGATTATCAGTTAACAAACAAAAAAAGGGAAGAAAAAAAGGGAAATGAGGGAAAAAAGAAAAGGACTGAATACTTCTTTTCTACCTAATAAAACATTTAAAACAACCGGCGGAAATTGAGCGGCTGCCTAATTTTTGGAAAGTTGATAATATATTTAGGAAGCGAAAAATGTTTTTATGATAATAACAATCGATTATATACGAGAGATTAAATAAAAGTAATTTTTTAGTATTTTTTAAGAGAAAGGAAAAATAAATTTAAAAAACTTTTTTTTAAATGTTCAGAATATTATTTGAATATTTAAATATTATTATACGTCACAAAATATTTTGCATTTTTTGATATAAACAAGAGAGGTAGACATTAGATAAAGATTTTTTCAAAATATTCATTCGAGTAGTACTTTTGTTTTTGGAGAGATCCTTAACTTTTAACTCTATAAATGATTACTCTCTAATAGGGTTGTTTGTCCTGGACCGACCAAACCGAAGAACCGATGATTTTTCGTTTCAGCTCTTCGGTTCGGTTTCAGATACCAAGTAATTTTAGCAAATCATCGTTATAATCGTCTTGTCATATTATTATTTTATAAAAAGGTTAATTATGTGTAAACCTTCAATATTTTATTCTATTCACCTTACAATAAAATTTAATTTTTTAATTAAGAAGAAAAAGATTTTTATTAAAATTTGGGAAAATATTTTTTCAAAAATTCAATTCTTTTCAATGAATACAGTCACGTTCTTCCCCCTTAAACTTTCCTTCTAATTCAATCGTACCAGCGTCATAATATGTATTTGGCTTTTTGCCTTCTGTAATATATTTGTCTGGAATCTAAAAAGAAATAAGAGAACTTTTTTTAAAGACTTTCTCGATTTAAATTTTTAAATTATTTTCGCAAATATAAATTACCATTATAGAAATTTTTCTTTGGCAAGGAGTCGTTCCATCATTACAATCGTGATATACATTAAATTTTGGGTCAATATCAGTAATTTCATGTGTATGTCCCTCCAATTTGAAATAACCTTTTTTGTCTGTATATCCTTTAGCCTAATTAAATATTTAATTTAAAAAGAAAATTCGAAAACAAATAACCAATAAATCGTCGGGATCACCTCTATCTTCGTCATAAAGTTTGACTAGAACATTTGCGGCAGGTTTGCCTTGACAGGTTAAATAGCCTTCTACCCCTGAACTTTGTAGACGTCCTATACTGATTCCAAAGAGTGGAGAGGGATTTGGTGCTGGATTAGAGTTTATTTTAGTTAAAAATGTTAAAATTAAAATCAAAGAAAATGAAAAGAAGAAAGACATTCTTTGCTAAAAAAATTAATTTTTTTAATAAAAAGTGAACACAATAACAAAAAAATTAAACAATTATTTTTGTTTAATAGTCGAGGATATACTTAAAGTTAAATCAGAAACATATCATGGTTAATATCGAAACTGATGGTTGGCTGGGAATAAGCCAAGGTTTTATGTTAACAGGATTTATGAATGGGACCTATTCTTGATCACAGGTTAAAATCCGGTTCAAAAATGGTTCATTTTTGGTAACGTTTAAGCAGTTGTTGTGGGGAAGTTAATTAGTGATATTTTTAATTTTGTAGCAAATCATAGGGTATCATCAGTCATGATTAATAATTATTAATTAATTATATAAATATTCTGATGGCATTAGAGATTATTTTAATTAAAAGAAAGCTCATTGGGAATGTCCGCAAATGTCAGTCCTTAATATGTATCAACCCAACAATTCTTTTTCAATTTTACTATTAAACAAAAATTAAAACTTTTAAGTGTATACTTTAAAATAAAATACATAAAACACTTTAAATATTTTTTCAAAATAAAATTTGAACAAAAATATTATCAATCATTCTTTTATTTAAAGAAATTTTTAGGCGGAAAACAAAAATAAAAACAAACCAAATTGCGTTTCAAAATTGTCAAAACTTTTTAAATTAAAACTGATTATTCATTGAACAATAGAAGAATGAATCACTAAATTATTTTAAAATTAAAATTAAAGAAATTGTCGTCTTTGTTGGACATTTTTGTTCATTCTGATTAAAGTCTCAAATAATTTATCGTTTAATTTATCAAATCGCGCAAAATTTTTGCTGACATAGAAAACTTTTTTGTTTTTTTTTTTCAAAAATAAATTTTATTTGTAAAACAAAAACTAAAAAATAACTCTTTTATTTCTTGAAAACAAACTGTACAATATTTGGTTACAGTTAATTATAATTATAAACAATCTTACTAATAATTTGCAAAATTTAGGGGAAGAGAAATAAATACCCCAACAAAGAATAACTTTTATTTTTTAAATTTGGAACTGGGAGGTTACAGCTTCGACGAGGGCTCTTTCCTTTTTTCTCTTTCGATGCCGTTCCAGCACTTCGTTCCTATCTTCCTTTACTCTGTTTTGAATCTTCGCCTTTTTCCTCCATATCCCTCACTTCCACCGGCCCTACCAAGTGGATTGGACTGGCACTGGAGCAATAGACGACTTTAATCAAGAGAAAGCTCTATATCTTCGCCACAAAAGGCTTGCACTTTTTAAGATTTTACAAGGAAAGAGCATGTAATGAATTAAGAGAAAAATTCTCTCTCATTTTATTGTTTGTTTGAAAACTCAATTTTGTTTGCCTATGTATTTTATTTTTAAACACATAAATACAACTAATTTATTATGTGATTACTTTTGATACAATACAAGTACAAATACAATAATATATACAACTCACAAATAATCGGTTATAATTAATCATAGAGGAAAGGCTTATGACAATCTAAACGATCTACAAAGTTTAGGGGAAAGAAATACAAAGTTTACAAATTATAGACAAAGCAATTGGTGGAAATAATTATCATTTTTAGGCTTATCATCAGAAAGGTGATCTGAACTTCTCCTTCCTCTCTTCAACGCCTCTCAGAGATGAGTTTGCGCGCGCTTCTTTCCTCCATTCAGAGCTTAGTCGGCTTCTTCTTCTGCTCCTTCAGTGCTGGCGGCAGAGGGGCAGCATGCTTCCGGTCCTTCTTGGAGGATGACTTCCCACGGCTTGCACTTCCACGGCTTGCACTCCGGCTTCGAGAACGACCGCCGCCTAAATAAAGAAAAATTTATGACGTTACAAGAGTGAAAATTGTAAAAATTCACCTTTCTTTTCCTTGCGTCCTTTGGATCCACCACCAGACTTCTTACTGCGCGCTTTCCCAGCTTCAGCCTTAGATTTCGGTGCTGAAAATAATAAGATTGTTATTTTAACTTTACAATCCCCAAATTTAATTACCTTCCGTCCCAGCAGTATCGCTTGCCGAACCAGCTTCCTTCTTGCTACTGCCAGCCTCCTTCTTACGACGATGTCGACCAGAAGAACCACTTCGCTTCTTGGTTTTCGAAGCTTTCCCAGCTGTTCCAGCGTCACTCTCACTAGCTGGAGCCGGCTTGCTACCGCTTCTCTTGCTCTTTGCCTTTTTCCCTTTCGGTGCTTTGGCATCACTCCGTTCTGATGTTCCTCTGCTCTGTTCTGTGTCGATAGTAGCAGCGCCCTTTCCAAACAATTTCCTCACTTCAACCGGTGAAACCAGATAGACGGGAACTGGCGTTGGAGCTCCTGGACGGCGAGCACGTAGAGCAAATGGTCCACCAGCGCTTTCGTCACTTCTGCTTCCCGAGCTGACTGCCTGACTTTCCTCACTTCCAACCACCGAGCCCTCTTTCGCTGCGCCGCCCTGTAAATAGAAAAATTTTAAATTCGAAACAAATATGTATTACATATGAAAAGAAACCAACCTCAGACTCCGCAGGCATTGATGCGTCTACAGGATACAGCGTGACATAGTAGATGACGGCAACCACAATGGAGAGCAGCAGCAGAACAAAGAACATGTTGACGAAATGCCGCGCCTTAGAGATGAGTTGTTGGGCCGTACGTTTGCAGGTCCGTAGAGTCGAAGATTGTTGATAGGTTTGCCAAGCTTTTTAGGAGCTTTTATAGTTTTTTGACTATTTTTAGAACCCAGCCTCTTCTTGTCATGAACCCTATAAAAGCTTGCCTCGAAGTACTCCAAACAACCTCTTCAATACTAGCAACTCCAACCAACTCCAACCTTCGCGCTCTTCACTCTTCAAATGTAAGTTTCACTTATTTTTATCTATTGTCTAATTCATCACTAATTTTTCTCAATTTTTCAGGCTGTTGACAACTCCCGACGACAGGATCGTGTTCCCGGTCAAGGAGGACTCGCCGCCGGAGCCGCTCGTGGAGCTGAAGATCGAGAACAAAGGAGACACGATCCAGCTCTACAAAGTCAAGTGCACGAAGTAAGCGCCAACCATTTTGCGTCGTTTAGGGCATACCTAACTCTCTTTTATTTTTCAGCAATGAGCTCATCAAGATCCGGCCCCCTGTCGGCATTCTGAAACCTGGAAGCTCGGCGACGGTTAGGCTTCTTCTCCTGACCAAGGAAGACCTGCCAGAGGACGACCGCCAATGTTTGTTGCTGCACTCTTCATTTTTGCCACAATCAAGCTTTTTTTCCTTTTCAGACGTCGCGGTCTACAACCACGACACCGAAGACTCGAACACGAAGGCGCGAATGCAGTGGGACATGGTCAAGAAGGAGCAGGGCATCAAACGTCTCTACGTGCGCTTCGAACGCGAATAGGACGGAAGCGGAAGATGCGTGATGATCATGAAGTGCCACTGTGATTGCCATGTAGAAAAGATTCTCACCCTTGTGATATATTCCCACTGTATATTGTGTCCTATATGTTGTGCAATCACTCTCATCCTATTATGTTGTAAATGTATTTTTGTTGTGATAATCTATTGCCCAAACATTGTTGTATATATTGTTTGTTGAAAATAAATATTTGTATGTATTGGGGTTTGTTTTATTTTTGAATGAGATATAGGAATAGGGCGATGAGTAAAAGTTAAGGAGTGAGTATCCTTTTGAAAGATTGTCTTTTGCCCTTTGAGTGAGGTATATGGATCATTGAAACTCCAAATACTCATTGAAATGTTTCGTGTGCTTTTCTCGCAGTTTCTGTAAGAGAATTTCCCAAATCCCTTAAAAATTTTGAAAGTTATTGCCTAGTATTTCCAGAACGAAAGTGATTTAAAAAAACTATTCCATTTTACCAACGAGAATTGAATAGTTTACGAGAAATAAAAATTCTTTTTATTTTTAAAAATAATATTTATAAATACATTTTTGATTGAGCAAAAAAATGTTAAAAATAAAATTTTTTAAAAACTGTTAACACTATGCTAAAGCAAAACTTTGAAATTTTCATTTGAGGTAAAATAACCACTAAAAATTGTTATTTTAAAATCTGATCAAATTTTAAAATTTTGCTTCAGAAAACAAAATAATTGAGGAGTAGTTTAAAATTTTATTTAATTTTCTTTTCTTCTGTTTTTCCTTTTTCAGAAATTAATAAAATTATTTTACTAGGAACATCAGCAAATATTAATGTTCCCCCAAAAACAAGTGTAGCACCTAACCAATGTGCTGGAGTAAATAAATTTCCAAACCAAAATATTGAAATTAAAAGGGATAGAAATTTGCGTAGAGTAACAACTAAATAATGAAAAAGATTAAAATTCTTTTGAATTTTTGACAACATTTTCTAATCAAAGTTAAAGCACAAAAAGTATTTTTCTTATTTTTAGTCGCTAAGTTGACTAAAAAAATTGAAATCAAGGATATTCAAAGAACTTAAACCCCCCCCCCCCCCACATGCAGCAACTTGAAATAGGCAGAGAGTGCAACTAGGGTTTCAGTGCTTGGTTGCAGGTTAAGTTGCTGTGACCCACGATTTCATTCATTTTCCCCCTCTTCAATTCGAAATTTCTAAAATTATTTTCTAAATTTTCTACCAAGTGTAACAGAAAGAGAATCAATAGAAGCATTTAATCTATAAACAAACATAATACAAAACCATTGAAGAAAGGCAACTGCCAATAATTGTAACCAAAGAGTTGATATTGGCAATAGAAAACCAAAAAATTCTGGTTTTGGACCCAAAGAAAATCTTTTTAAAAAATCGGAATTTTTTTAGAAATTTAAATTTACTTTTCTGCACTTGCTGCTATATCATTTCCCATAAATGCAAAAAATGGTAAGGAGACAGCATGCTTAAAAGAAACAAAAATAACTCAAAAATCTAAAAATATTTTTAATCTACCGTATAAAACATAGCTTCTCTTGGATGTTTTCCATAAATTCTATACATTCTTTCTTGACATATAGCTAAAAGGGAAGATATCAACAAGGCTGCAGTTAACATAAAAATTCCTATAAGCCATTCACGGTAATGTTTGTCTGCTTGTTGACGGGGCAATAAAGAATCTGCTTTCTTTAAAAGGGGGGATTAGGTAAATTGTTAAGAAATTTAAGAAAAATTCTTTAAATTCAAGTGATATATTTGAATTGGGTCATTTACTACCTTTCAACTACCGAGATTCTTAATTTAGTTAATGATATTAAAGGCATTATTAAATATACAAAAATGCCAGTGTTTCATGGAACCAAATTTTGACCGGAACCGGATCCAATTTGAGTTCCAGCTCCCGGAACAAGAACCAAAAAACACCGTAACTTTCCGGAACTTCCGGTGAAACTCTAAAAAATGCTCATCTACTCGTACTCTCTTTACGTTTTAAACAAAAAAAGCACCTTTTCAAGTCCAGCAGTAGCTAATGTACACAAACAAATACCAATAGTAATTGCAAAAACAGAAGCATATTTACTAATTGAATATTTCCTTCCAAGTAAAATCCGATTCATTAATAAAGAGGTTAATAAAGATCCAGAACGAAAAATAATGTGTAAAGGAACGGGAACATGAAAATTTAATGCTTGGTTGTTAATTACATTACAGGCAAAAAAGGCAAGAACAACTGGCAAATAACCTCTAAAAATAATTTTTTAATTTAAAGATTTTCCCTCTTTTACCTTAAAGAGATTTTGTTTTTGACTGTAAACAATCGAGTAGTAAATATTAGACCCTCAATGCTGATAAATAACTTTTAAAAAATAATTTAAGGGTAAATTGAAATAAAAATATAGGTATTTAAAGTCAATTCTCTTAATACATATAGGTATTTCTTTATTTTCGATATATCTCGAGTCCCAATTTTTAATAACTTGATATATCTGAAATTTTCTCGTTTTTCTTGTTTCTACACTTACAGTCCCCAAAGAGAATCGACATTTAAGGGGTTAAAATATCTTTAATTATTACAAAAGTAGCAAATGTGAGCAAATTCATTGCAGAAGGAGCTTGTCTAGAAAATAAAAAAAATATTTTTGAGTTTATACTAAATTGTAAGGCTAGCAAATAGTGTTTTTATTTTTGTTTAAAAACCGAATAAATATTATTTAGACTCTGAACTTATCAACCCAGCACCTTAAAATCCTCTAAAATCCTATTCAAATCGGATAATTTCACTATATATTTAACCCACTTGGCTAATGATTCAACACAAACCATACATCCAATACACCCACTAAGTGCCCCAAAAACAGAAAATACAGCATCGGCCATTATTTACAATAAATTTAAAAATAAAATAAAAACTAAAATATTTAATGTTAAAATAATTTTCTTTCTTTTTATTAATGATTTTATATTTTTGAAGAAGAAAATTAGTGAATTTTTTTTATGTCATTTAGTGTTTGTATTTTATATTATGTACAAATATTTTCTTATCAAAAATTTAAAAAGAAACAAAAAAAATTAAAAGATTGGGATGTTAAGGCGCAGAAGTATTTACCTTAACATGAAAACTTAAAGAATTTATAAAAAATCAAGTAACCTAAAGATTAATACATACTTATATGTTACATTTTCAGACTGATGTAAAAAAATATGTAATAAAATGTTAATCATAAATTAACTTTAAAGTTAAAAAGAAAAGTAACACACATAGACTGATTAAATTTTTAAAAGAAAAAATAATAAAATAGAAAATGTTCTGATAAAATCAAAATTAAATTTACACAAAATATACGCGCAAACTACAAAAAAAATTTAAAAAAAAAGAGAAGTTTATAGAAAAAAAGTAAAAAGGGGTTTATCGTCTATTAGAAGTGTCCCAATGGAATTCTCAGCCGGCGAAAAATAAATCGATTACCGGTGCATTATTTTTGCTTTTAATGTTTTAACCCTGCCAAAAAAAAGTAATTCTCGACGTTCCTATGACAATTAACACTCTCAAAATATTTTTAAAATTTAATTTAAAAAATAAACTTAATTTGTAACTTTTTTTAATTAGCACATAAGGTATAATTTTAACTACTACTTGAAGTAGGTATATTAAAAGGCTAAAAAATTTTCTTGATGTACATAAATATGTATGTGTTATACATAGTATTTTATTTATTATTTCGTGCATACCTTGCTAAGCTAAATTTAATTTTTAGCAAAAAAATTCGTACAAAATAAATTTTATTTTTTTTCGATTGAATAAACAAATTTACTAAAAATATTTTGATCAAAAATATTATTGAGGATTTAGTTAATCCTTTTCTGTTCTATATATTTTAACTAGTCGACCTTGGATTTTACAAAATAATAATTTAAATTGTACAGAATTCAAAAAAATAAATATTTAGAGATTTTGTTTAGCAGAAATTATTTTATTTTACAATTTAACAAAAAATTATAAAAAGCGAAAAAAGAGAAAATTTTAAGAAATTTAGAATTAATGAGGGGTTAAAAATGCCCAAAATATTTGGAAAATACAAAATAAATTTGGGAGAAATACATAAATTGTATTAAATACTTAAATTTTATCTTGAAATTGAAAAATAAATTTTGGAAGCAAAAATAAAATTTCTATGACCCCAAGAATCTTTTATTGTCCCAACAATGATTTTTTGTTTAAAATACATGTTCGATCCCCGAGGAAATGTAAAATAAGGTTCCTTTACAATATTAAATAATCTGAAATTTCAAGGGGTTAGGAAAAGGAAAAAGAACTTTGTTAGCAGATTAAACAAAACCAAATATACATATTAATGTTTAAAATTACAAAAAAAATATTTTTTGTAATTTATCTATTTAAAATATAAAAACAAAAAAATTTCTAAATGCAAAATGGACGGAATAGCTGGAGGAGAAAATTTAAAGAAAAAAATTAATTTGGAAGTATATTTAGCCGTGACATTTCTTTCACGGTATCCCGACGTTGGTAACCAGTAAGTTCAGTTAATTCAACATATTGTTTCATTGCAAACTGAAAAAAAAGAATTATTAAAAGTATTTGGATTTAAATAATTTTAAAATAAATTTTCCTTTAATGGCAACATTAATTTTTGATGAAAAAATATTTTAATTTTTATTATGATTACTGCGATGAAATTTTAATTTTTCTGACTAATTCTTATTCAAATATTCCCTATAGAAAATTTACCTGAAAATGACAACTTCCTTTGCTTTTCAACGTAACAACTTTTCCCTTATCCTCCATAAAAACAACCCCTCTTTTCAATCTCGGATCATTTCTTTGTACATAATGGCTTAGAATTGTAGCTATCTTTAAATATTTACAAATATTTTTCAAAAAAAATATTTATTTAAAAAAACATTTGCTGTAAACGGCAAAACTAATTGTCCATCACGTAATCGACGAATATTAACTGTTACAACGCCAGAAAGAGATGAACTGACAGAATATGCCCCTCTATAACTCATTTCTTCAATAACAATAGATGCTTCTGTTTGGCCGCCAGCTGGGACTTGGATGTTGTTGTCCTGTTTAATTAATTTTTATTTAAGAAAATATGTATTAGAATAAATATTCTCTTTACTTTCCGTTGTCCTTTGATTTTTACTCCTTTGATTTTTACTGGAACTTTATTTCGTCTGAAAATCCCAAGAATAGACATACCGTATAATTTGTATTAATTGCCCTCCCTCAAGTAGGAGGGCAATTAATTTTTTCCCCCATTTCCATTACCACATCCAGCGATAGATTGAAACAATAATTACCCAGGGTAGTTATAAAAGGATATACGGTAAATCCAAATTCATTTAAAAAATAGGTGTTGTTTTAAAAATCTTTAGGGATGGAAGAGATTACAAAAGTGATTCTACACTAAATTTAAATTCAATTAAAAAAACTAACCACAGCCCAAGTAAGAGTTTCAGATTTAATATTTTCTGTCAATTTGTTAAAATGAACTTCATGTTTAAATCCAGTCTTTAATTCTGCAATTTCCCCTACAAAATATTTTGTATATTTTTGAAATTTATTTATTTATTAATTACCAGGTATTTTTAAAGACAATTCTGCTTCAGCCCCAAAAGTAAATCCTTGCTCTCTAGCTACCCCACAAATTGATTCTGATGTTCTTTCAGTTTTTAACGAATAAGTTTGTGTTTGGCTTGTATTGTTTGTAAATAATGATTTGACTATTTTAAAGAAATTATTTTAATAAATATATCATTGGGACATACATATAGTATTGGGACGAGTGCCAGTCAGTTGAATATTATTATAATTTGGCTGAGCATGAACAAGTATGAGCTTTTTTCTGTTCTATAAATTATAAAATATTGTTAATTTTTACTTAACTTAAAATTAAATAAGGCGGTTCCTCGTAGATTTTAAATACGATTTTTTAATGAGAGGGTGTTTGGTTAATTTTGTTTCAGAAACAAGAAAAACGTCGAAGGGGTCTACAACGGGCTTAGTGTATCCGGATATCCAGATCCGAGAAAAGTAAGGATATAATACGGAGATTTTCGAATTGGATATCAGATTCGATATTCAAAGATTCATTAGGATCCTCTGATCCTAATCTGCAACCCATCTATTTAGAGCTAAATTCAAACACACTCTTTTAGCTTTTAAAGATTTTAAATCATTCTTGTTCCTTTTATTATTTTATCGGTCCACTTTTTTCGATCCAGTCAATTAAATATTGTTTTAAAATACATACAAAGAACACCTACAATTTCAAAATCAGCATCTGCCAATTCAAGATTTTTGAACGATTCTAGTCCAGATCCTTTAATAGTCAACAAATCTTTAAATCGTTGCCAAACATATTCCTCAATTAAAGCATCAACATCTACATGTGTTTCACAAGTAGATGTTCCTCCAACAGATTGTAATGGATCTGGTGACATTGAATTATGATTTATTGTTGGGGCAGATGTTGGCGCTGTTGAGCGATTTGAAGGAGGGGAAGAAGGGTTTTTGACCGGCGATGTGGGGAAAAGTCGCTGGAAATACATATTTTTGTAAATAAATTTTTTTCTTTTTTTATTTTTATTGAGAGAGTGAGAGATGGATTTGAGCGATTGGGAAGCGGAATTGAAATAAATGAGGGAATAAATAAAAGAAGAGCTCCGAATTGGAAAGGAAGGAGGAAAGAAGAAGGCCAATCGAGGAACTCCGCCCTTTCGAACCCCCCCCCCCCTCCCTCCTACTCCTCTCCATTCTTCTCATCTTTTTTCGCCAATGTGTTCCCTTTTCAGGAATTAACTAAACATAAGTTAATAATTTGAGTTCAATATTTCTACCAGCCACCATTTCCCAATGATGGAAAATGTTATGATAATAATTATGTTCTTTTCCTTTATTAACATCTCCCTTAAGTTATCGTTATTCTTTCCATCTCCTCACTTTTAAACTACCTTTATCATGTAATGTAAAATATTAGGCTTGCTCCATATTATGGGAATCTCCTCCCTTTCACCATTTTCTCCCAATTTTTTTTTAATTTTCCGATTTCAAGAATTTTAAATTTAAAATTTCAACAAGTTTTTTAACTTCAACACAAATTTTCATGTCTTCCTTTTCAAATCAAAACTTTTTTTTATTATTTTCATAAAGGAAGGACGTTGATTTTGAACAGCGGGAGAGTTTTGGTGGTGCTTAAAAGAAAAAGGAAAACATAAAAACATTTTTGGTGCTTAAAAATAAAAAGTTGCCACCGTCCCGGGAAAGAAGGATGAAAAGAATTAATTCGGAAAAAAAGATGAGAGAGAGAAGTGTCTCTTGGGGGAAGGAGGGAAGGGGAGTGCGCAAAGTTTAGGGGGGGGGGGGGTGATTTAATACGTACCTCAAAGTCAATGTCACCAAAACATATAAATAAATATAAATTTTCCCGTCATTTTACCTATCAAATAATATCCAACAAAACACTTTAAAGAGGAGAATAGGGCACGCAAACAAAATAAAAATAAATTTTTTTTAGTTTCAATAAAAGTTAAAAAGTAAAGAGGAAAACAAAAGCTTAACACGCATTTTGTAGTTACTTTAAAGATTTAGAAAGTTTGAATAGAAATTTAAAAGGATGAGTCAGCCTAGAAGAAAATAAAATTTTATCTTTAAATTTTATTTTGAATTTTTCGGGTGCCAAAGGGTTATTTGAAATCTCCTTTGTACAAAAATAAAGAAATGAATAATTAATTAAATTATGTATTATTAAAAATATAAATGTTTTTTTCTCAAGCAAAATATTTTAAAATATAGAAAAATAATTTATTTAAAAAATACAGATTAGATAAAAGGAATTCAACAAAAACTTTTACAACAAAATGAATGAAATACTTTTAGCTAACTTTTTAAAAGTAATCGATGCGGTAAAGAATTGAATTTTGTGAAAATAAAAGATTTCTAAAATTACCTAATTTTTTTATTTTTACAATATCTCGTTATAATGCCCCATTCTTAGGTATTATTAACTATTAAGTGATATTTGTGGAAATTAATGACTTGTGAAAGCATTTGTGCTCGAGGGGAATAAATCTGAGGTCTAAAATGTTCAATCCCCTCCTTATGATTTTAACTAAAAATTTCACTTCCTACTTAAATTTCGGTATAATGGACTTCCCTATTATTATAGACCTGTTTTCCAGGGGTGGTGCAAGTGCCACAAAATACGAGACACGGGATTCACGAGATACGAGACGAGCTCCACCCCTGCTGTTTTCCCTTAAAGTTCGTTATATCGAGGTTTGATTTACTGTAATTTTTGTGTTCCCACAGTTAGAATTTATTTTTAAGTTGCCATATAAGGGTGTTTTGAATTTTGTTTGCGCATAAATATAAAAACGTGTAAAAATAAATTTTAACAATTAAAAAAAAGGGGAGGCATGCATCCATAAAATCCCCTTTTAAATGTTTTGCTCAATTGGTTTTTCTCTTCCCCCCAAATAAAGAATGATTCTCAAAAAAATTTTAAATTAATTGGATTAATTAAAATAAAAATGTTTGAAAATACAGAACAGAGGTCAGAAAAAAACTTTTTTTTTGCTTTCAAAATAATTTATGATTAAGAATGTGTTTTTACTTTTTTCTACATTTCTCTTATCATTTTTCACATAAAAATTATTTTCTCTGTAAAATGACTAAAATTATCTGTTTGCAAAACATATTGACTCATACACAAAAAAACAATTTTCTCATGTTCTAAATATAAATTTTCTGTTAAATTTTCATTTTTATACGAGGGGGATATTTAATTTTTTTAATTAAATAAATTAATAAGAGAAATTAAATTAAAAGAAATTATTTAAAAGCGGAAAATAAAGTGGCAAAATTAAATTATAAAAAAATATTTAAATGTAAAGGAATTTCAGTGCAAAATCGCAAGAACATAAAATTATAAATAAAAAATATACACAATTTCTCTCAACTATTCCCAGCCGTTGCTAGCCATTCAACCAGCTGAAATGAACTATAGTAAATTCTCACTTTCTTTCCTTCTCTCTAACTAGCTTTAAGCTTCCTTCCCGCCAAATTTCTTTACAATGTCCATCAACTACATATAGATAGGTCACAGAATTCGTGACAACTTTTGAGTCCAAAATAATTATTAATTTTTAAATCTTCAACTAATTCCACTCAAATTTTCAACTCTCAGAGACTCTAAAATTCTTTCCACTAGAAGCTACTTTTTGTATTCTACCAGCCGCCCTTTACATTTTATTTAAAGCTCAACCACCCCATACACATAGGAGAAAAGCTGCGAGAAAGCAAAACATGGCGTAGGACACCACATTTATTTATTTTTTTCGTCTCACTTGAGAATATAAAATATTCTATCAAGAAAGCGACGAATTTTAGCTCCATTAAAATTGAGAATAATACTGCTATTTTTTTATTTTTAAATTTTTGGACAGAAAAAAAACAAATTGGGAGATTTTTTTTATAAAAAAATTTTTTATTAAGTGAAGAGTATTACAACTATGATTTAATATTAATTACAAAAATGAGGGGAAAACTAAAAAATATAATTTATATGGCATTAAAGGCACACAAAAATTTAAAGCATAAAGGCAAGTAATAAAATATTATAGTAAGTCATTGCATAAAAACATTTTTAATAAGTGTATCTATCAATGTATGTTATCTGATAAAAATAACCTCTATATATTTTCGTTACTTGTAATTTATTTAACCACATTAATAGATAAACTTGTTGTACCTCGAACACTCGGGGGCGGGATGTCGGGCTATGGAACAGGGTTAGAGGCGAGTAGAAAATTTTTTTGACTAATTCTTCCTTTATCGCCGTATTGATACCGAATTTTAAATTCGGGATCAGCGTACAATTCTAATTTTAAGACAACCCTATTTATAAAAAGGTTTCGATAAACTACTTTCTCCTAGAAATCTCGGATATGCGTCTTCAACCAAATTAAATTAGATTCTTATTCAATGCCTTAATATTTTTAAAATTAAATTTTATGACTCTTCCACAAACTCGTCAACATTATTACCATTATTATCATCAGAGATCATATCTTTCTTATTACAACTCCTCTTCCTTCTCCTTCCTCGAGCAAGTCCATTTGTTCGATATTCTGTCCAAGTTTTTGCTGATTTTGCATTCCTTGCAGCAACTGGAAAGATTTCTTCAATTCCTGTTGTATCTTGCCAAACACTTCTCAATTGCATAAATAAAAGAACACCAACAGCAAAGATAACACCATAAGTTAACCCCACAGCTAGCACTGAAGCGCTGAACAATGAAATTGAAGCAATCGGCAAATCGGGGGGTTCTAAGTATTGTGGCGTGGGAGACGGTGAAATACTTGATTGGTTTGTTTTTGATAAAGAAATGACCTTTAAAAAAAGATTAAGTTGGATTAATTTTTGTTGGGGTAATAAAAGAAAAGTTTTTCGACGGAAATGTTTTTAAAATCAGACGGGCAGGATCTCCTAACATAATATTAAAAATAAAATCTCACAGTAGTAACAACTTTGTACAAACAACTAGACAAAACAATTGCTGAATGTACAGCACCAATAAATACAAAAAAGAGAAATCTAATGAAGTGAAACTGATTCCGGCCGCCAACACAATTATTAACCCAAGGGCAGTGATGGTCCATTAACTGCAAACACAAAATTTAAAAAACATAAAACCGAAAAAATACCAAAACACATCGACGACACCTTGAACAATGATGAGATCTAGGCACTTTAAAACCCATACAGCGATGACAATAACGAAGTAAATACCAATCAGCTTCGTCTTTAGGATGCCATCCCAACCGGATATATCCTCCTCCTAAATATAAAATAAATATCAATCCAAAAAAAATAATAATTTACCACAAATACTCGCAATATTTAAATGTTTAAACACAGAATAATTCCAAAATAAATATATCATAAAAAGAGCAGCGCCAATTGGAGATTTTGGATCCCACCAGGAAACATGTAAAATTGAAGTAGTTAAGCCAACATTAAATTAAACAAAAAATATTTTTAAAAAGACCAAAAAAATTACAATTGTGCAAATAGACATTGAAGAAATTGGACCCCAATGTAATAACCTCCACCGTGATAAAATTGTTTTATCTTCGGCATCATCACTCCATGGATCATCATATTTCTGTTTATTTTGAGTAAGCGCTCTTGGCAACTAAAGAAATAAATTTATTAGTTACATTAAATATCATCTAAAACTATTAAGTTGGATGGAAAATTTTGAGCATAAACATGAGGTAATATTGTAGACTATGGTTTCCAGTCTGATGTGGGAAATTCTTATATACGGAACCGAATTGCAGAACCGGGGCGAAAATCATAACAAGTAGGACCTCCCTAGGCCCAGATATTTCCCTTTGCGAGACAGACATTGACTAACGTAAGCCTCACTTTATTAGGCTAAAATATTTTTAACTTTTACATACCTGCATTAAAGCACCCTTCACCTCCTCTATAGAAGAAAAGAAAAAAGCCTTAACCTTGTACAACATAATTCTAAAAAAATAAATTTAACTTAAAAATTTCCTTTAAAAATTAAAAGAAAATAAGCGAGATGTATTCGTTTAGAATTTATAACTCAATTTAAAAAATCTATCTTTTTAATCAAAAGAAAAATCAGAAAAAAGAGAGAAAGAATAAAAATAATCATTTAAATGAGTATCACATCTTTAATCGAATGAAACAATAAATTCCCGTGAAGAAATGAAAATATAGCTTTAAGCTTATCATCAACATTTAAACTTTTGGCATTTGAAAGCAAAAATGCCGAAGGCAAAAAGGCTGTGGATTGGCGACGTAAGTCGAGACTGTTACCATTCGGATCAAATAATGTAAACCAGAAGAGGATTGCGTGGCAAACTGATGATTTGGAACAAGTAAAAATACAATGTTGCTTAACTCGAGTTAATTGATCCAGAAGGTTTCGATTCTGTGGATGAAGAAGAAATTAGTAGTAAAAAATAGTCAAAAATGGGGATCCGAATAAATATAGGAGTAGGTCCAAATTCTTAGAAAAGCATAAGAACGGGACGAATTCAAAGATAAATCAAAATCTAAAAAATACCGAGTTGCTAAAATCCATTCGAAATAATTCTACATCCTCCGAAATTTGCTCAAAATCAAAAGTCTTCGTTTCAATCTCATGAAAATATTGTACTCTGTAATCATCCATTGGAGTCAAATCAATACCACAATAAGTTTGCTTGTCTTGAAGTAATCTACTTCGTTTACAAAGCTCATTAGAGTTAATTAAACATCCATTAACGCTGAGTTGAACAGGAACTAATATTGATTTTGGATTACGAAGACGTAAGCCAATTATGGAGGTAAGATATTCGTCAAGAAAACGACCTTGATTTGAGAAGGGCCAAAAAAGAATGACACTGCCAGGTCTGCAAAATGCTGAAAAATAATAAAAATAATCATTATTTCTCAATTAAGATCACAAACCTTTTTCAATAGAAGTTGCTTTATTTCCCACATAACGAATTGCAGAATATTCAGAAGCTACAGAAAAACGCTTATCAATGAGTAGATCTGTACAGTCTAACACCGAAGAATATCGAGCTGCAGCGGTGAAATAAAAAGTTCTAACGACCGAATCATTCATTGCCATTAAATCCACCCATTGAGGTAATCGAAGAATTTGACATTCACGAATAGGTGACAGACCAGAAATTGGATGAACTCGAAGGGCGTTGTCTTTAATGAAAATTTCAAATCGAAGTACATCTCCTTGTTTTACGAGTGTTTGCGGATAAAAAGGATAGATGGCTTGCTGCCAGCAATATCCCTCATCTGGCGATGTACAAATTTCAATATCGCCAAAAAGGTTTAATCTAAAAAAAGCAAAATTAAAAAATATTTATTGAAATATTAGAACCTAAACCAAGCACAGACAGCTGAAGCTACTCCAGTTTTGTTTGCCTTTAATGTGAGTTCAGCGACAAAGTGACCTTTAAAGGAATAAAAATAATGAAAAAAACTATTTTTAAAAAACCATTCTTAATTTTCATTAATTGAGTAATATCGTTAAAGTCAACAGAAATTCCTTCGACTGGTTGCGATAAGAGTCTATAACCGTCTTTCAATTCTTCAATATATGAACAAGTATAAGGCGATGGAGGAAGAATTCGTTTAATATTTTTTGAAGCAGATCCCTCAACATTACAACAGTCAGAAATAAAAGTAATTGTATCTGAATACTCAAATACATTTTCGCGATCAATTGCTTCAGCCTCTAGAAGTGAGAAAAGAAGAGAAACCTTTAAATTTGAAGAAATTATTTATAAAAAATAATTTTAAGAAAATGCCTTATTTGGGATTAAAATTGCATCTTCTTCTAAAAGGCGTTCTTTTGCGTCAAGAATCTGAAAAAAAATTCAAATTAATATTTGAAAGTAGATAAAAAAAGAGAAAAATTTGTCGAAATTCTAAAAAAATACCGTTTCTACAATTCTTTCTCCAAAAATTGCACAATCAACAGTTTCGCTAACAAGTAAATTATAACGTTTTTTGACGGCTAATTTATTCGAATGCATTTCAAAAAGCTTGACTCGGACATCATTTTGTATAAAACAATTACGAGCAATTTTGCACATTGTTTCATCAAGATCACAAGCATGTACAGAATTATCATTCCTGAAAAAGCCAAGTTTAATTTTTCAAAAAATAGTTTTCTGGAATTTAGGTATTTAAAACAGGGTAAGGTAAACACCAAAAACAATTCCTTTAAGGAATAAACAGAGAATAAGAAAATTTCTCAGATTTTTATTAAATTGTATACCTAGCCGCAGCAATACTAAAAATTCCAGAGCCACATCCAATGTCAATTACTCTCGCATCTTGTTTTGCATTAAGTGCTCCATTAATCGCTTCAACAAATTTTGCATTTCTTTTCCCATCATTTATCATTCGCCAATGCCAGGCATCAAATAAATTCGTCTTTAAATTTTCAATACTTGTTGTGGCTTGGAGCCATTCAATATCCCCCTTAGCAAATAAAAGAGCCCTTTGAAAATTAGCCAAAGATCGAGACAATTTGCCTTAAAAATTGATTTAATCAAAAACCCCGAAAAAATTAGGGGCAAACTTTTAACATAATAATATTCTGCAATTGTACGCCAAAATCGAAATTCTGTTCCATAAATTATTGTTGCCACACGTAAAACATCATTTGTATTAGTCTCCTAAAATTATAAAAAAATAAAATTAATTAAAAAAAAATTTTTTTTTACATTCGCTTCACGATGAAGAAATGCTTGAAGTGTAACTAAAAATTCTTCCAAATATTTTAAACGATTTTCTGTTGGGAGAGATTTAAGAACTGCAATGTAATTAAGAATAGCAAGAGAATAATGACGTTGAGAAGAATAAAGTCTAGCATTTGAAAGTGAATATCTAGTAGATTCTGTGTCGATTTGAAATGTAATAGGGCGTGGGAGAGGAAACATCTAAAAATTAAAATAAAGAAATTAAAAACAAATAAACAAGATCAACTATCAAATTCCAAATCACGAAAGGATAAAAAATTCTTAAGTGAAAGCGGTTTTTAGGATTTGAAAAACCTCCAAATTTAATAATTGGCATTCTGTATAAAAGACTTTTTGTCTCAAAAAATAGAGGAAAAATAAAACAAATAGAATTACCAGAGATAACAGAAAATGTTAGAGAGGAGAATTTCTTGGGACACGCCCAAAACGGCGCGCAGCCATAACGGCGCAAAGTCATAACTTGCTTCAAGATTTTCTAATCTTACCAAATTTAGTATCAGACGATTGCTTTCATCGAGCTAAGGAAATTCGTACCAAAATTGAGAAGGGCCAGACATTTTCCAGCAAGTTATGGCTTTGCGCCGTTATGGCCGCGCGCCGTTTTGGGCTGTACACGAATTTCTTTTGTTGTGTTTTTTTAATTTTTACTCTCAGGAAATTTAACTCCACAAAATTTTAATTTATTTTAATTATTATCATCTTAATTTTTAAATTACGTCTTTTAAACAGTTAAAAAATGATTCAGGTTTTTATTTTTAATCTTCTTTCTACTTCTATTTTAGCACATTCCATGGGACAAACTTACTTTTACTGGACGTTTTATATTTATCGAGGAAAGTGTTCGGGGGACAAGTCCAAACAGATTGTTATTTCTAATTAAATGTGTTTTTTTCATGGCTTTGGACATTACTTTATGTTTTGTTGCAACTATCGCCTCTTATCGTTTACTTGCTTGGGCATTATTTACTCCAGCTGAAAGGTTTCGATTTTATTTTTTTATAAAATTAAAAATAATTAAAGAGGATTTTATTGTGATGATGAAAGTATTAGAGAAGAATTTAAAGAAAATACAGTCCCAACACTTACACTTCTTGGTATTACATTGGCCGGTCCTTTTTTCATTATTGTCATTGCCAATTTTATAATTAAAATGAGACAGCAGAATATGGAATTGGCTGGTCTGGTTTATTTTAAATTTTTTTATATTTTTGTTAAATTTTTAGAAACATTTAATCGTTCAACTTTTGTTTACCTTGACTATCTCGCTGCTTTTTGGCTTACTACATTGTCGATTGACATAATTAAATGCTTTGTTGGAAGAACTAGACCTAACTTTATTGCAATGTGTGCGCCGCAAGAGTTTAATGATGTTTGCATTGAACATCCTGAAGGTTTGGATTTTTGAATTTAATGGTTTAATTAGGCTAGAAATGTATTAGAGATTGGTATTTTCAAAAAGTCTGGATTTAGGTTAGTAACCTGTACAGGATTCTTTATCTGGACCCAGAAAAAATCTCCAGGACGATCAAAAGATGCCTGGATCTGGACTCAGGATCCAGGAAAAATTCAGACTGGATCCAGATCGAGAACGATCTCTACAATGTATACCTTATAGGAACAGATTTTATTGTGGATCCTTTTTTATGCACTTTTAATAACTAGTTCATTTAATAGCTATTTTATTATCCTTATTATTATCCCTCACACTTTTTAAAATTCATCTCACTTAATTGCTTTACCAAAATTAATTTGATTCTTAATTTTTTAGTTTTCGTCCCAATTGCACACTGCACAACTGGTTGGAAAAAATCGCGTAATTCAAAGCTCAGTTTCCCCTCTGGACACGCTGCAATTTCTGTGTTTTCTACACTTTTTCTTTTTTTCTATTTGAGAGGCTTACAGAGACGAACTTCTGATTTTATAATTAAATTATTATTTGTAATTGTCTCTTCCGTTTTTATTTCCTTTACTACTTATTGTTGTATATCACGAGTGACTGATTTTTGGCATTTTCCCACTGATGTTCTCGGTGGGGTATGTATAGGTTCGTTATTATTTCATTTACTTTTACACAAATATTACGAGACACGTCCACATTCCATTTAAATTTATTTTTTTATAATTATACCAAATATTTTATATATTAGTGTAGTTCCCCTTAATTCAATTGATAGTTCAATGTCTGAACATTACAATTGAACAGTCTCATTTTTAGACACTGACCCATTGAATAGATTAAATCCATTTTATTTTTATATGTATGAGGGGAACTATACAATCATACCGGTATTTTATTTATATTTCTATCAATCTTCTCTAATGTTTAATGTATATTGTTGTATTATTTATGATAAATTTTATGGGGTTTATTATTTTATTTGGTCAAAAATGCTTTCCTTTGCATAAATTTTTATTTAAATTGATTAGATCTAACAAGTAAGTTTATTCATTAAAGTCACATAAAATGTGATTTAATGTAATGATCAACTTTAAAGCTTCACAAGCAATTTTTTGTTAAAGATTTCATAATTTAAACTATTATTTTAAACCTTGCCTTTTAGATAATATTTAAATTTACCTTTTTACCTAAAACCATTTTCCCATTTTTATCATTCATTTCTTTATGTTTGATTGGCATTCCCCTTTATAATATTCAAAAATCCCTTTTACCTAACCGCCATTTCCCCTCATTATTTAAATAATTGTCACCAATTCCTATTCCCGCCTTATTTGTCTGTATATAAGCATTTACTTATTCCCATTTTTCACCTTTAACCTATACCTGAACCTTAACTGCCCTTATTTAAATTAAATAAACTTTTATAAATAAAAGACTTCAATTGAATATTGAGAGAAATATTCATTTGAGAACACTTCCCCGGACACATTAAGAAATTGCTTGTTTAGTTTAAAAATGTTTATCAGTTTCTTAAAATTATTTTTTAAAATTTTTTAGGTGTGTAGCAAAGTATTAATAATTATTTTAGTGTGAGAGAAAAGAAAATATGAGTGCCAATTCGCAGCAGCAGCGACCACTTTGTCGCTATTTTGCCAGTAATATTTGCTTCAAGGGAGACAATTGTGAATTTTCTCATGATCGTAATGCAAAGCCGGATTTGGTTTGTCGTTATTATCTGCAAGGTGCTTGTGCATATGGGAGTAGATGCAGGTTTTTTAGAATTTCTATTGTAAATTTTATTTGAATTTTAGGTTTGATCATGTTCGAGCAGCACAGAAAGCAGCAGTTCCCAACGCTCAAACTTGTTCACTTGAAAAGGTTTAATTTTAAATATAAGGAATTGGAAAAATAGACGGACAAATGTCGATAAAATTTACAAAAGTTATAAATGATTTAAATTTTTTTCATTCAATAGAGAATGTGTTTAATTTAACATTCTCTTCTATTTTTTGATGGAATGAATTTTTAACATTCATGTTTGGGTACCTTTGATTATATTTATTCTATATTATATTTTGTTCTCAATTTAGATTTCTGCCGGTCCTAAAACGCCTCCAAAGCCTTCGGCCAAATTGTCAATCAATAGCAAGCCTTTTGTGCCAGCTCCAATTCCTTCGTCGAATCCATGGAATAAAAATGCTCCTCTGAACAGTTTTCATGATGATCTGGGTTTCGAGCTTGAATTGATTAACGGGCCTGATATTGGATGCTCATCAAATGATTTGTGTTTAACCTCTGTTCAGAAAACGCAGAACCTCTGGCCAGAAAAACTTGCTAATGTGCCGCTATGTCCATATTTTGAAGTGGTTGGTAAATTATCTATTTTTCTAAAATTTTGGTTAAGCTTGAAGTTTTTTTAAATTGTAGTCGGATAATGGATAGGCTGTTACTTTCTCTTTAAGTTAAAAATAGTTTCACATTTTCTGAATTTTTATTTAACTGTTAATCCTGCTGGAAGGATAAAGCATTTTCAAATATTTCTATTGCAAGTTTTAGGGCTTATGTCAAGATGGCGATTCTTGCCGTTTTGTGCATGGTATTCAATGTGATATGTGTCTATTGAATATTCTCCATCCTCATAATGAAGCTCAACGTAAAAAACATCGTCACGATTGTCTTGAACAACACGAACGTGATATGGAAGCAGCTTTTGCTGATGCTCGTTCTGCGTAAATTCCACAATTTTTATTTAAAAATATTTTTTATTTAAGTGACAAGCAATGCGGTATTTGTATGGAATTAATTGCAGAAAAAGATTTGCGTTTTGCCATTCTTCAAAATTGCAACCATTGCTTTTGTTTGGAGTGTATTCGAAAATGGAGAAAACAGCATAATAATATGGAACAAGAAGTTGAAGCAAAAACTGTCCGTGCTTGTCCAGAATGTCGAGTGCATAGCGATTATGTTATTCCGTCTAAAACTTGGATTGAGGATAAAGACGAAAAGGAGAAATTGATCAAAATCTTTCATGACAATACTAAAAAGGTTTGCGAAATTAAATTAATTTGCGTATGTTAATACCAATGTTAATATGTCTAATCTCCTAAAAAGTTGTGCCTCGAGTAGGTCTTAAGAAAGTACGTCCGTGAATTATTTTTCCAAATTAATATGGGATTAACCTAGCTTTTTGATTTAAAGTATGGTTCATAGTGGCCACAGAAATACCAAGATTCAAGACCCTAGGGATTTTTTAACTTCCTGAGAGTTTCCCAGGATTTTTACAGAAAGCAGGATAATCTCTGATCTTTTCTATCATTTTCAGATCCAATGCAAGTACATCAAAGGAAGCGATGTTGATAGCTGTCCATTTGGAAATAAGTGCTTTTATAAAGTTTGACTATTTATCTGTTTCTAAAAATAACTATATTTTTAGCATCAAATGCCAGATGGAACAATTGTTGAAGGAAAATCGCCGCGTACTTTGCGAAGAGAGCAGCGTTCTGTTTTTGCTCATCATTTTGAACTTCTTGAATTTATGATAGTTTCTTTATCTGATGATTCGGATGATGGCGGCCTTGATTTCAGCTGGTATTAACGAACTATTTTGTTGGGTTTAGTATAAAAATATTTTTTTATTAACTTTTCTTGAACGCGCATTTTTGTCTTTCTCTTATATATAACGAGTTGATGCTTAACGTTTTTCTAAACTAGTGTATATCTTTTTTGTTGAAACTTTTGCCTTCATTTCTTTTTTAGTGATGAATTTATACTTAACTTTTTCCAAACATCTCATGCCTTTTTGGCTTAACTTAATATTACATAAATGTGCTCGAAATTTCTCAAAATTTTTTGAGATTTTTTTAGAAATTTTGATAGAACCCAAAAATAATACTGAAAATTTTACTGAAGCACATTTTCGAATTTTTCTTGACTATGCAATTATAAAAATATTTTATATATTTGCTGTTTTTGGCGACTCTGACCTTTTCCCGAAGACATATTTTGTTATTGTATGGTGATGTTAAAACGGGTTTTAATTTGAAGGGGACTTTGTAGTTTTTTAAAATTATTTTAAAAATTGAATAAATACACCGGACTATGTATCTTTTCTAACAGTTTTTGTCTGCTAGGTTAAACCGGTGTTTTTACTTTTTCGGATTTATTGTTAGTGTACATCTTTTATATTCAAAAAACTTTAATAAACAATTCAAAATAAAAGTGTTTTACTTTCCATAAGGAATTTTGTTTTTTCTTGATTCTCTGTCAAACGGATCCCTCCAAGGTGGCAAATGTGAATCTGCAGCTAATTGATCGCGCGAAATTGGTAAACTGTCGTAAAATTGTTTTTGCTTCTTTGCATAGAATTCGTGATTGATCTAAATAATTGGATTAATTTGTTTTGAAAGTTGATTATCCAAAGATGAGCGAACTCACCTTCCCTACCTACAAAAATCAAACCCGCAATTTCACCCCAAACTTACGTACCAAGAATAAAAGAAAACAAAATAACCTTTGGTTGAATAGCCATCATATAGAAAGCCAAAGCAATTGCTCCCACGGTTCCAAAAATCATAATTTTACCCGAAGAAATTTCCATCTTATTTTTAATATTAACAATTGCATCAGAAAGTCTTGTCCAAGGAGGGATTTTAGGTCCAGCAGCTGGATACCGCATCTTTTTAAAGATTAAAAAATAAAATTTAAATTAACAAAATTAAGAAAAAAATTATATCGGCAAATAACCAAAAAATAAAAAATAAAATTTTATTTAAAAATATATTTTATCTTCACTTAAATTTTATTAAATTTGTTACAAAATTTGAGCTTTTTCGTCATTTCTTCTATCTTTTAAAATTGACCATCTTGATGGAGGCCAAATTAGACATGTTGCTTTTCCAACTATAAGACCACAATTTACCTTAAATTTAAAAAAGAATTAAAATTTTTAAAGAATTCTTAACCGGTCCATATGCTCTGCTATCCAAAACTGTTGGACACTTCAAATTATCAGAAAGTACCCAGATATGATTCTTTGGAACAAGCACTCGCCCACCTTGCTTCGTTCTGGCTGTATCACCTTCAAGGGCGACTATACGCTTTATGTGGTTTTTTGAAGGATCTGGGGGTGCTCTAAAAATGGAGATTTAGGTATATTGTTAATTTTTAATAAACAAACGTGAATACAAAAATATCACCAGTAGCTGGTTTAGGAAAAATTTTTGATATCCATACAACATCACCAGGAACCAGATTTGGCTGAAAACAAAAATACTTTCCACTTTATTCCCAATTTTAAATTCACAAACCAGCATTGAAATCCCTGAAATTGACATTGGGCAACCAATCAAATCGAAAAACGCTGTACAAGTACAAAATATTCCAGTAGCGTGAATTGCCCTTCGAAGAAAAATTTTTGATTTTTGCATTTATTAAAAATTTATTTTGCCAATTTGTATGTCTATGTAAGGTAATTTTTTAATAATTTTAGGTCAACTTAAAATTAGAAATACACCTTATGTTAGATTAAAAAACATTTACTTATTCCAAATATTAAAAATATAATTTTTAAAAAAGTTTTATCAAGTAAAACATTAAAATAATATATAGTCCCAATTCTGTCATTTTAAAATAAAAACGATAAATATTTTTTAAATAATTGGGACAATATTTAATTTCAAAAAAGAAATAATTTTTTTCAAAAAAATCAAATAAATAAACTTGAAAAGATACATTTCACATCAATAAAATCTCAAAAATAATCCTAATCTCCAGCAACATGGTTCTTAATATCGTAGACAAACGGCCACGCATCATCAGTTCCAAAATTAATTTTAGCATCACAACGCCTCAAAAGAATATGTGGAAATAGATCCTCAACGTCATTCAAAAGAATCGTTTTCCCTTAAAATAAAAATTTTAAGAATAAAAAAAGGGAATTTAGAAAGAAATTCGGTACTTGTGGGTTACCCAAACCAGTTTTTGCGGACATATTTAGGCGGACACATTTATGAACATAATGGTCAAATGTCTTCCTTCGTCAATTTACTCAATTTTTCGATGTTGACCAGTACATAAAGAGTCCGCATAAATGTCCGCAAAAACTTGGTTGGGATAACCTACAAGTACCAGAAATTTCTCAAAAAAATTGCACAAATATTAATAAAAAAATTTTACAAACCAATTTGTTTCTTGTTTAAAGTGAAGAAAATTTGCGTAGGTTCATTTGGCTTATTCTTTGGAGGAATTATATGACCACAGCCAAAAACATCATTCCCTACCATTCGATCATTAAAAAAACGCTTGCAAGTTCCATCTCCCGTTCGGTAATTTCCGCTGTTTCCCAAACGAAAATAACATTGATCATCTTTATAAAGTCCAATTTCCAATTCCCAATTGAACCAATTAAAACTAAAAAATTATCAGAAAAATAATTTTAATTCAAAAACAAACTCAGTTTCCTTGACAGGATCCGGTAAAGCTATAACCTCAAAGAAGCGACAAACATAAGCCTCTTCTGGCACTTCACTTGGAATATCGGCCCTCATAAATTCCTTTTCGGCAAGAACCATAATTAAATTATCACTTTCTAAAAAATTTTCAGTAAGAAAAAAAAACAATTTTAAATTTCCAAACCCATATTCTTTGTTGAATGACTATATTTAATTAACGACCCATCATAGCAAATCCAAACAGCTCCATTTCCTTCCCGACAGTGGCCAGTAGTTTCCTTACAATTTTGACCACAACAATTCTGATTTTCCGAAAAGCGATTCATTTTATTCCAGCACTTTACATAAATCTAAAAAATAAAAATTTGTTTGGATTAAAACAAAAAAATTAACCGTTGGCTTTGGTTTGTAAGTGTTGAGATTTGACAGCATAGACTAAAATATATAAATTTAAATTTAAAAATAAAAACCTCCAAAGACTTGATTTTCTCATTTAAATCATTTCTGTAGGCAGAACAAGAAGAACTAGAGCAGCAGTCAAAATCTTCTTCCATTTTTAATTTATAATTTGGATAAGAGAATATTTAAGCTTAAAAATGTTGATTTAATGAATAACAAGAATTCTATTTTTAAAATTAAAGGATTTTGCCGTTTGGAAAATTTAATCATGTTAATTAGAGATTACTGATAAGATTAATAAAATTCGAACTTTCAACTTTTCAATAATTTTTCTGAAGATAATGCCCAAAGAGAAAAACACACCAAACACGCCGAAACGGCTGAAAATAAAGACAAAACGCCAGAGAAAGATTTTGGTTGTTTTAACTCCAAAATCTCAAAACAAAAATATTATTACGGTAGAATTGTGATTCTAATTTCAATTGTTCTCAATATTTCACATAAATTAAGTACCAAATATTCGGAGCAGTTCAACTGAGTCCGCACGATTGAGTCCCCACGATTGAGTCCCCACGATTGAGTCCCGGCACAATTGAGTCCCCACGATTGAGTCCGCACGATTGAGTCCCCGTTGTATATACCTCAATTGAGTCCCCGTTAAAAATTCCCGGTAGGAATTTTTATTTTCCTAGATTTTTTTATTGTTTTTTTTTTATTTTTTTGTTTTTCTTTTGGGGTTTGCAACTAATTTTGTTAATTAGTTGACCGAGCATCCACTCAAGTCCATCCGAGCACTGAATTTTCTCAATGAGGACGAGAGGGAGGACGAGAATCTTGTGTAGGTAAAAGTTTAATTTTTATTTTTTAATTTTAGATTTTATATTTCAGGTTGGTCTAACTTTGCTCATCACGTGTCGGACTTCATCCCACGGCTGCAACGATGGGAAATTTGAAAAGGTTTGGAATTTTTATTTTGTTTTTCGTTTTTATTTTTAAAATTTTTTAGTTGATTTTCGTCAGTTTCTGACTGGCGATTTTCAAGTTCACAGTTTCTGAAGGAACGAAGGTGGTGAACTTATGAGAACAAAAAACGAAAGAAAGGCCCTTCTTTGGCACAATAATTGAAGCTAGACTTTGGTTTTTTTTAATTTTTTTGATAAAATTTTTAAAAAATATTTTTTTATTTTTTTTTCACATTTTGATTTTCTCCCGTATCCAGGTAAATTCTGCCGGAGTCCGGAAATTAGGAAGGAGTTTTTACGTTCGTAATTTAGATAGTTTCCCCTACCCTCCATAGCAGCACAAAAAGTTTTTCCAGCGAAGATTCTGTTGGTCAAAATTTGTTCAGAATCATTCAATCAACTTGATTTTGGTCTTATTCAACTCATCTCGTCGATCCCTTTCGAATGAGCTATTTTTTGTTTATTCGAATGTTTCGCAACAAAAATTCCCCATGGAATTCCACCAAAAAATCCACCATTTCGAGCCCCATATCTCGGCGAGAACTTGTTCAACAATGTTGATTTTGGTGTCATTCGACTCACTACTTTCGAATGAGCTGTCATTCAAAAAATCTCTCGATATCCCTCCTAATCCCCAAACCCACAATATCCATCTTAATCTCTCCGAATTTGTTGATATCTGCCTTAATTCAACCGATATCCCCGCTTAAATCTACTTATATCCCTTGATATTCACCAATATCCATCTTGATACCTCGATGTCGCATACAAGTCCCCTGATATTAACATTAATCCCTCCAAATCCCCAAATATCCCTCTTAATCTTTTTTAATATAATTAAATCTAGGGGACTCAATTGAGGTATATACAACGGGGACTCAATCGTGCGGACTCAATCGTGGGGACTCAATTGAGGTGTACCGCCAAATATTAACAAAAAACAAAATAATACAAAAAACATTTATTTCCTAAATTTCAAAAATTCTGAGAATCCTTAAGGCACAGAAATATTAAAATGAAAAGAATGAGATTAATTAAATATTGCAAGGTATTGAAAGTTTAATTGACTATTTTAGCTAAACAGGATGTTTTTGCGGTGTTTTTTCTCCTGCTAATAAATGCCTTGACTCATTTTCTCCACTATCCATTAAATTATACATTGCCAAAGTTAAATAACTTTAAATGGAAAAGTTTGGGATTTTTGAGTAATTTATTATTAAATACCTTGCTGGTAATTCTCCTATATTCAGTGAAATCTAAAATTTAATTTTGAAAATTTCTTAGAAATTGTTTAGTAAACCTGATGAAGAATAAATACTCCATCTGGGCCTAACGTCCGAACAACTTGAAAAATGAGATGAAAATTAATTTGATATTGAAAAGGCATAGAAGATTAGTGACCATTTTATTGTAAATTAACTACTATTATTGTACATATGCCTACACTATTCTTTAGAGGGGTACTTTATTATTTATATCCTTTGTTAGAGTTTTGTTATTAGTTCCAGAATTCTCTTTTAAGTGTTTGTTTGGAAAAGTTGAAGATCCCTTCTTTAGCCACAGGGAAAATTTTCGGGAAGGCAGCGCCACGGGGGAGGGGGATTTTCAAAAAAACTCAAATTCCCCTACTTTTGGGGACGAGGACTACTCTATTTTGAGTCATTCTTATGATTGCTTATTAAAGCAAATATTTTATTTTTTATTTAATATAATTACATCTTTCCAAATTAAAAGCTGCTCCAGAATGTAAAGTTAAAAATGCTTGAAGTCGAAGACGCGAAGCAGAAGGAAAGCAAAGGGCTAAATAAAAATTTATTTTAAAGAAACTTTCAAATTCTTGCCTTTAGACCAGCTGAGGAAATTAGCCCAACTACAAAGGCAAACAAATAAATACCAAAACCAAAGAAATATAAATAATTTCTCATAGTAAATATTTAATGTTAAAACACACATTACTGTTTCAACCTTAAGAAAATTAAAATTTAGCTAGAAAGACAGTTTATTAAAATTGGATATTAAGAAAGATTTTTGTAAGGAATAAGAGAGACGAGCATACCCGAAATACGATTGAAATCTACCCCTTGAGCAACCGTACTTTCCATGGAAAGCCACAAGGATTTCAATTTCCCCACGTCTGGAAAATCTCCTTGTTAAATTTTAACAAACCTACATAACTTAAGAAACTAAGTATATATAAATTAATAACCTGTACAGAGGCAGGTTTTCTCTTTGTAAAATCACAATGTGTTATCCTTGGAAAATGTCCTGTCTCCTAATAAAATAACAATCATTTTCTCAAAAATTATTATTTCATTTATCTCACTTGCCAATCTAAACCATTAAGTAAATCAACAAGAATTGAAGGTCCTCTCCACGAATACATTGGAGATCCAACCAAAGCATTTAACCACATAAACATTATTGTTGAATTAGTAGCTTGTATTAATGTATATATTACATAATAAAGGACTAATTGGCCACGGCTTCGACGACGTGAAAGTCGAATACCATCCCAAAGGTAGGGAGCTGCTTGACGTTCGAAGGAGTCTACTCGAGCTTTAAATAAATTTTTAACAAAGAAATAGGTATCATCAAAAATTGTAATAGGTATATTCT